ATGAGGCAGATTTATCGGATGGACTCTAGTCGAGCGAGGTGTACGGAGTACTGTGTAAAGTAATGCGAGCCGAAGGCTGTCCAATGAAGAAGTGGCTTGGTGACGAGATGCTCGGAAGCACCCTTCTAGGTAGGTATCTGAAAGTAAGGCGGCATGGGATGCATACTTACGTGAGTATTGGCACCGGCGTTGGCCGAGAATCGATAAGGGCTGTTTCAAGCGTTCTGCAGGATTGACGAAAGACGATGGGACTGGGGGAGAGATATCTGCAACGAAGGGGATCCTTAAACCAACCGTCTTTCCAGGGCGGTTGTATCGAGACGTCACTTACTTGCTCAAGAAGAAGGTTCATCCTTTCGTACGTATCTGCCTCGACGTACTGGCGAATGCGTGACTTTGTGTAAGAGGACAGTAGCGACCTTCCTCTTCGCCCTTCGGAAGCGGCCACCGGTGTGGGCGGGCTTGTTGGTCGGGTGACTCGGGCGTGAGATAAGCTATCGTTTTCCGAGCCCCCCGTGCTTTTCGCTCAGGCCGCCGTGCGCTGGCGACAACACCACCCCATCCCGGATCCTGCATCCGTCCCAAAACAGCAACCAACACCCGCAAGGGTCGGAGTTGGTGGGGGTCACCTTTTTTTGATCCATCGCAACTCCAGCCTGAAAGACTATCGAGAAAGGGCGATTCCCGGCTCCGAGAACAGCCATGGAATTACCCAGAAAACGGGCCCCTAGGAGGAGGGATGATAGGATCATACTCCACTTCGTACGTTTGTCCTCAGGATTCACGGGGCTCTCCCGACACCCCTCTCATACACCGCTTATCTGACGCTCAACCCGCGACGATGACTTGTCCAACCACTGACGCTATGCCCAGGATTATGACTGCTTCTATGCTTCGGTCTACGAAAACCGTGACCCGCAGTTCAAGGCGCTGCCGCTGGGGGTGAAGCAGAAGAACATCCTAGCGACGTGCAACTACGTCGCCCGTAAGCGCGGCGTCAAGAAGCTCATGCTCATCGTCGACGCCAAGAAGCTGTGCCCTGATCTTGTCATCATCGATGGCGAGGACCTGACGCCGTTCCGAGACACGAGCAAGAGGCTGTTCGGGTTCCTCAGGGAGTATTCGTGGAACAACAAGGTGGAGAGGTTGGGTTTCGATGAAGTCTTTATGGGTGTGTGTGTGCCGCCGTTGCTCTGTTTGGCAGTGAGAGAGTGCGGATTGCTGACGAAGGGACAGACGTCACGGATATCATCAACTACAACATGTTTTGCATCAACAGGGCGTCCCTGTCTGAGTCGTTTTTTCACCTCTCCAAGCAGGATCCCGAAAATGGCTTCATCTGCAACTTGACGAAGGTTGCCGGGTGCATATACGGTATGACACCCGAGCCGGGTGATCTCGAAAATCCCAATTTCGTGCGGCTTCTTCTAGCGAGTCATTTGGCTTTTCACCTGCGTATGAAGCTGGAAGAGGACCTCGGCTTCACAGCGTCTGTTGGGGTATCGACAAATAAGCTCCTTAGCAAGCTGGCCGGTAGTGTGAACAAGCCGCGAAACCAAACGACATTGATGTCGCTTGATGATTCCGTAGTAGCGGAGTTTATGGACACACATTCTATCAGAAAGGTCCCTGGCATTGGTTCCAAAACCTCCCGTATGCTGGAGAATCGTTACTTGTCAACGCCTTTGGGACCCAAGGATGCCGACAGAGAAAACTCGCCTCTGAAAGTCCACAATGTGCGAACACATTCCGAAACATCACCAGACGCCCTGGAGAAGCTCCTGTGCGGTCCCGGCTCCGAGCGCGGCGTCGGCGAGAGGATCTGGGGTCTCTTGCACGGCGTCGACGGTACCGAGGTCAAGGACGCAAGCGATATGCCGTCGCAGATTAGCATCGAAGACACTTTCAAGGGATTGGAGAGTATGAGTCAAATTGAAAACGAACTGCGCAAGATATCTGCGTCCCTAGTGCGGCGAATGCGAACTGACCTCCTGACGAATGACGACCCTATAGAACCAGGCGGGCAGCGGTGGATCGCGCACCCCAAGACCCTGCGTCTGTCGATCCGTTCCTGGCCAACGGAATCGACGCCAAGCTTCCAGCGGATATCCCGCTCCCAGCCCCTTCCAAACTTCGTCTTCGCCCTCAAAGAACCTCCCGAATCAATCGCGGAGCGGCTCACGACTAACCTCCTACTTCCCTCAATGAAGAAGTTCTACCCGCCAGGCCACCAGTGGAACCTTCAGCTTATGAACGTATGCGTCGCTAACATGGCGGCCAGCGGTAGCGAGGCCAGGTCTAGCGTCGGTAGAGACATATCGGTCATGTTCAGGAAGCAGGACGACGTGCTACGACAGTGGAGGATAGATACGGCAGTTGTGGAGGATGACGACGAGCAGTGGGCGTCGGAGGACGACGTCGAGAAGGAGATGGAGCTCGGAGAGTTTGACGAGGGGGCTTCTTGGGAGGACGATATGGTCACGGCGAGGTGCCCACTCTGTGAGCACTGTATACCGTCGTTCGCGCTGGCTGCACATGCGAGATATCATGACCTCGGAGAGTGATTTCTTATCTCGTCGTGGGTAACGAAGGGGTTGCTGCCGACCAAGGAGGGGTCGTCTTGAAGGTGCCAGCCCTTGTGGTGGTCCATGTTAAAGCCAGGATCCGAGTCCTCTGAAAATGTCTGGGAGGTCCAACTGTCGATGTCCGAGTCTCTGTCGCCGCGACAGTAATCTGAGTCTCTGTTGTCATTGCAGTACATGCAATCTTCAAACACGGATGGCTCTCGGTGTTCCTTCTCAGTATGCATTGCGGCAGTCGGTCTGGCTGAGCATAAACTAGCGTCATACACTGCGGCAGTAGATGAGTGCACACTGGCTTCTTGAACCGGGGAGTTTATATGACTAGTCCGCGTGCTTGCAACTTCCGAGTACATGACGCTAGGGATATCGAGGGGGGCGTTGGAATGCAGAAACATAGGGCTGCCGCCATTGATGTAAGTGTTCGTGACTTGCGGGCTAGGTATATTCTTCTGGAGGCTCCGGCAGGGCTTTGCGCTGGTGAAGATGGCCTTTACCTTGGCCGTAATCTCGGACCAGCGACCGCGGATACGAGTGATGAACTTACGAGCCATGATGGGTGTTTGGGTGCCCGTTGGTAGTGATCAGTGCTGGCGGCGGTGGCGTTGAGTGACTATTTTGATGCTTTTATCTCCATGGTGCTCGGAGAGAGTGCTCTGTGAACATTGTCCTGGGGAGTGACGCTAGGCTCGTGGCTGGCGGCTTAGAATAGTTGACCTTTTCCATGGTTGAGGACTACCATGTTCTGGTAAAGTCTAAGTTGATGTGTATGGTCTTGGGATGACGGGGCCTTCGAAATTCCACGAAATGGAGGAAGTAGCCTATGAACAATGGAGCGTTTCCGAGTGGATGTAGTTATAGCAGGTGATGCGGCAGAGTCTTGGTCTTGGACTTGCAAGGCGAAGCTCAGACTAGCCTGTTGACGATGTCAATGAGAGCTCTATCAGGGTACTAGGGAGACACAACAATACTTATCTGAGACAAGGTTTTGTCAATCATTCCGTTTAGGTTTCCTCATGTTAAACGATGGCTATTGGATATTCATGCCCAAGGATGCATGCTCTAGACACCATTTCTGCTGCCGATGGTGAAGATCAGTTGGTGGCCCGGGAAACCTACTTTTTCTGGAGTGTCCGTTTTCTCTCACCGCCATACTTCGACTCTAATCAGGGAAGCGCAGAGGAAGGGAAGAAGTTTATTTGCGGTTTAGACGAGATTACTAGTTGTCTGTTGTTCTAGGCCTGACATATCTTGTCAAGCCGTTGACTAACCAAACACTACCCTAGAAACACCTATAAACTGAAAGCGCCATTGCCGTAATACATGAATAGTTCATGTATGATATCATGTCCATAATTGCCTAGATAGGTTAGGAATATGTTAGAAGCAGCGGCCTCTTTCTGACAAAGTGCCCTGTGAGCATGGCCAAAAGAACTTGGCCGGTGTTACGTCTTATGGAACGTGACGAGGTACAAGAAACCCCATGAAGGGAGGGAAAAGCAACCAAATCAGCGCTAGGCGGGTTGTTGTATCTGACTGCTTGACTGTGTAACATATGAATGGCTCCTCCATGTATCCGTATTAGTCCAAGAACCCGGCATATAACTTACCTAGAGAGAGACGGGTGCTGACGGAAAACCAAAAGACGATGGATCTACTTACCAACCATATAGAGGAATAACCGAGAGCTGATATCAATCACACCCTCTAGCTTTTGGGCCAACTTAGAGTTGACAGCGGACGAACGAGGCGGAGTCAAACGAGATGGGACATGCTATCCCTTGTCGTGACAGGAAACCAGGGGTGCAAGCTCTGGCCAACTGGAGCTCAAGCTTCCGGAACAGGGCCGAAAATCCTTGCATTAGCGCATCTGCAAGCGTCCGCGAGGGTTGGCTTGGGTGCTTGGATGGGGGCCGCACGCGGGAAGGCAGACGCTGCTGGAGTCTTTCGTTGTCAAGGCGGCACCTGCCAATCAGACAGATTCAGATGATCCCCCCGTGCTCACCTTCTAGGTCGGGGCTTATCGATAAGATCGATCCGTACCCCAGAAGCAGCGTCTGTGACCTGCAGTGACGCGGTGTGGTGCATCACTGGGTGCAACTTTGACAGCTGACGTCAGGGGTCTAAGATGGGCGCAGCTTCCCGCGCGACTACAAACACGGCTCACGTCCTGCGTCCCTCACGTCGTTGATGCTATGTTGAGTGTTTGCTCTTCATCTCTTACTCTTTGTTTCCGCGTGTGGAGGTAGACACAGATACAGACAGAAAACAATCTGGCCGACATATTCACCGTTGTCTTGTTGCTGCACTTAGATATCCAATAATAGCCAGCGGTGGCTCTTTGTGACGCCTTCACCTTGTACTCACCCTGGCTCCTTCTTTCCCGGTCAGTGGTAGTCGGTCCTCAAAATATCGCCCAAAATGGAACCCGCGCGCGGCTCCTCACCTTCCCCGGCAGTACCTGCCACAGGGCAGGTGCCAGTTGTGCAGGAGGCAGCGACGAACGTACCACCTCACAGTCGTCCACGGAGCACAAAAACAGATACCCCTCCTGACGCCAGCTCTCAACCTCCTGTCCCTGATTTCAACCCAAAGTCCGATCCCAACTCTGAACATAGCATCGACACTTACCAAACGGACAACGACGAGGATCAGTACAGCTACACTTACTCTGACGAGGAGGACTTGGACGCATCTTCTGTTTGCTCCTTCGAAGAAGAAGAAGACGGTAATTGGGAACGAGACCCTGACGACACTATGGCAGGCTCAAGACGCCACCACAGCCAGCGTCGCCGTACTCCGACGGACCTAACTGGCGTCCTCACCCTCGACGAGAAGAATGAGCTTATCAGCTTGGTGAACAACATCCTGGACAGCATGCAGGACCAAATCAGCAACATCTTCCACTCCCCTCCCATTACCCCCGCCACGGCCGAAGACCCCGGCAACTCGTGGCTGTCCCTCTCGCTGTTCAAGAACAAGGCAAACGCCATCACTCAGCCTCAGAGCATTGCTAACAAGGAGAACGCCCGGCCTTCTTCGGCTTCGACCCAGCAAAATGCCGCAAAGACGTACAACAGAGCCCACGAAATCGTCGAGAAGGAGGAGAAGGAGGTCATGACGCCTCAGCTCCAGGAGCTCAAGAAGGAGTGTCTCGTAGTCTTCAAGAAGTGGCAGGGTAACGTCCTGACCCGCGCCAAGGATATCTCTGTCAGGGATCCCGAGGTCTCAAACACCCCCGCCGGCCGTGGTGGCCGGGGTGGTCGTGGAGCCCGTGGCGGTCGCGGTGACCGTGGTATGCCCCAGGGAGGCCGTGCCGCCCCGCGCGGCCGTGGAGGTAGAGGCGATCCCCTAGGTGTCAAGACTGGAGGTAAGCTTCTCCGAGCCGCTGCCATGGGCTGAGTATTCATGGCAGCAACCCCCCTTCTCTTGCAGCCTTGTTGACTTCCATAGGCTCACCGGCTGCACGCCGACCTGACGAAGCTGACCCCTGGCTTGTTCGACGATTTCCTCCTACTGTCACGCCTTTGACTTCTCTCCCCATCGAGCGACGCAAGCTTCTGCTCCATACGGTTCTTCTGCTCCTACTGTCTTTGGAGCAGTACACATCCTTCTCCCGCGTCTTCATGCTCAAGTTGGCTTCCTCGCTTCATCTCACTCTTCGCACGTTTCAGGAGGACGAGGTTCGCGTCGCCCGGGGTCTCGGCAAGACCGTCCAGGAAGTCAATGCCGACGATGTTGTGCAGGATAAGTCTGCCGAGAACCAGTCGTCTAGACGCTGGAAGGTCGGCCTTGCTGGTGCAGCCGGCGCTGCCGTCATTGGAATCACCGGCGGTCTTGCCGCCCCGTTGGTCGCTGCTGGCATCGGCTCAGTCATGGGCGGCGTTGGACTTGGTTCCACGGCCGCCGCTGGCTTACTCGGAACTCTCGCACAGAGTGGTGTTGTCGTCGGCAGCTTGTTCGGCATTTATGGTGCCCGCCAAACATCCAAGATGATGGACCAGTACGCCAGAGACGTTGCCGACTTCGCCTTCCTGCCTCTGCACGGCGATATGAAAGACGAGTACCGCGATGCCAAGGAGATCCCTCCCAAGGACCGACGCCTGCGCGTTGTTCTTGCACTCAGTGGTTGGCTGACCCAGAAGGAAGATGTGGTCAACCCCTGGCGCTGCATTGGCCACCAAGGTGAGGTATACGCTGTGCGATGGGAAGTTGCCAACCTTATGAATATGGGTAACTCGCTTGAGACCGTCATCAAGAGTACTGCCTGGAGTGTTGCCAAGAAGGAAATCATCACGCGGACCAGTAAGTCTTTCGACCTCTGAATCCGGTACCATATAAGCTGATTGTCGTACAGTCTTTGCCAGTCTTATGTCGGCCATGTGGCCCATCGGTCTCCTCAAGGTCAGCAAGGTCATCGACAATCCCTGGAGCGTCGGCATGGTCCGAGCTGAGAAGGTTGGCATGATTCTGGCCGAGGCCATCAGCCGAAAGGTGCAGGGTGATCGACCCGTCAGCCTGATCGGCTACAGTTTGGCTGCCCGAGCCATCTATACGTGCTTGATGGTGCTTGCGGAACGCCGCCAGTTCGGTCTCATCGAGTCGGTTGTCATGATCGGTACCCCGGCACCATCAGAGAGCCGTGTCTGGCTCGCACTGAAGAGTGTCGTTGCAGGTAGACTTGTCAATGTCTACTCCGAGAACGACTATATCCTCGGCTTCCTGTACCGCACCTCCAACCTCCAGTTTGGGGTTGCCGGACTGCAGCCTATTCAGGGCGCCGAGGGCGTAGAGAACTACGACGTGAGCAGCATGGTTAGCGGCCACCTCAGGTACCAGTACATGATCGGTACCATCCTTAAGAACATCGGCTGGGAAGACCTCGACTATGCGCAGGTTGAAAAGGATGAACAAGTCCTCAGACTCATGGATGAGAAATACGGTCGCGACAAGAGCCAGAAGCCGCCATACGTCGACATGGACAAGGAAGCCGAGCACATCCAGGAAGAGGTCAAACAGAAGAACGACGCCAAGCTCGAATCGACAATGAGCAAGATGAGGATCCAGAACTAGGCTACTACGAAGTGCATCTTAGCTGAGATGATCGGTAGAGATATCGTTAGGCATAAGCCACTGTTATTGGACGCGGTGGACAACGTGGATAATGGATGGACTTTTGCGACAGAATTAGCTAAGGCACATGAGAACATGGCAGACACGATTGTAACAAACTAGCAACAAGAAATGGAAAGGAACTTGTCTATCAAATGTGTTGGTTCTTACCGGGTATCATGATTCCTCCTTTCTGCTCTGAACAATAAAGTACTTCCCAGCCGTTCTAGATGCTGTCTTGAGAGGATCCCAGTCTTCGACGCCCTTGGTGTCGACTTTTTCTTCACGCAGTCTCTTAGGTCGCTTTTTATGGCCGAAACGGATCTCCTTGCCCAAAGCGTCTTGCAACTCTTTGAGTCCAATTGTCGCCTCTGCGACACCTTCAGTTGTCTCATCGCGCAGCGAGCGCAACGGCTCGACTCCCGTTGTGTCTACGCTCTGGACGTCGCGCACAAAGTGCAGTTGCGAATGTAGTGTGCGCAGCATCGCAGACTCTTCAGTTTCAGATTCTGGGAGCGGGAGGGCGGATAGACGGAGGAGGTGGTGCAACTTGGCACGAGAGATTGGTTCCTCTGTAGAAGTCGGGGAAGCATCGGCTTTCGAACCAGGTGGGAGAAGGGACGCGACGGACCACACCGGTTTTGAGAGGAGCGCCGACGCGGTGTTGGATATTGAGGGTCGGGCGGAAGAGGACGTGAATTGTCGGGCCTGTCGAAGAAGGGCGCTGCAGCGCCTGCAGACGGGGCGCATATTAACTGCTTTTAGAAGTCGGCTACTTGGGTGTCCGTGTATGCTGTCTTTGGCGGAATTGACAGAGGATTGAAGAAGTCGCAGTCAGAATGTGAGAAGGGAGTTGTGGTTGAAGTTGGAAGCTTCGGCCTGGGGAATTAATTTGGAGCTTGAACCCTTGTTATCCTCTTTTTTCCCGCAACGTACGGGGTACAATAAGCTGCAGAACGGTACCCAAGGCCGGAAGACAGGTACCGGCGAATCAGGGTGCTCGGATACCACCCCAGCGCCATTCTACCAAAGAACCTTGAGTGTGTCACTCGGATTTACAAGGGCAGTGATACCACGCTGCCAGCTCTGGCTAATCCGCGGCCAAATCCCATTTCCCTCATTAACATCCCAGTTTCCTTCAAAGCATGCAGAGACTCTACGAAAATCATAGAAATAAGCTGTCACCTAGAGTTATTGAGGGCAGATTTCAGGGTTTAGATTAGGATTAGGGGTCAGATTAGGGATAGATTTAGGGTCAGGAATATGAGTATGTTTGGATTGATGTGTTTCCGCGTGGCAGCGGATTAGCTAAAGCTGGCGGCAGGAAGCAGGCGCGCAAAGCCACGGGTCTCCGTCAGCTAAGCCACAGCGACAAAGACCCCCCACGTCATTGGGGTTTAGCGGCAGGAGCAAGCCCGCCCGAAGTGGGCGGGTGTGGTGCATGTTCGCCTGAAAGTCGGTTCCGTTGCGCTGCTACACCTTGATGCCACCAACGACCATAATCCCACCACCGCTCTCCCGAATCGCGACCTGTCCTCTCCGTTACGACACGTACGTATCAAAGTCTGTGATAAACCGACGGCATACCGACGAAATATTCAATACTTCGAAAGTAATCCTTCCCGAATACCGAACGAGATCCATAGCCATAGAATTTCGTTGTGCTTGATTCAATTCCGAAACCATGGCTCAGGACCCTCGCGCTCTGCTGCAAAAGGTGTGTTGATAGATTACTATGCCGACTTTTCGGTACTTTTCTTCTTATTCATCTCTCTGCTATGTTTCTGGACTGTGGGACTGTAGGGTGCCATGCGGAGGCTTGAGTGATTGGTTGCAACGTGTCGCAACTTTGCTGACGAGTTCGCGGTCGCGTAGGCAGACAAGACGCTCTCGAGCGCCAGCGGTGGCTTCAGCTTCTTCGGCGGCCGGGAGGATAAATACCAGAATGCCGCGGACCTGTACATTCAGGCCGCCAACGCCTTCAAGATGCAGAAGCTCAGTCAGTCTCTCCCCGCGACCTTATTGTTCGCTCAGACTCCCATCTTCACCACCATGCCCCTCCTATGACCATCCTCTATAAACGCCTTGGCTGACCAGTGGCAAACTCGCCCGCTAGATCGCGAAGCAGGCCAGGCCTTCGAGAAGGCAGCTCAAGTACAGACCAACAACCTCAAGGAGCCCGACGACGCCGCCAACACGCTCGTCGATGCCTTTAAGGCCTACCGCAAGGACGACCCGGAGGCGGCGGTGCGCTGCCTCGACGTCGCTGTGAACCAATACTGCGCCAAGGGCAACTTCCGCCGCGCGGCCGGCCACAAAGAGGCGCTCGGCGAGCTATTCGAGACGGAGCTCGGCGACTCGAAGCGCGCGCTCGAGAGCTATGAGGCTGCGGCGGGGTGGTACGAGGGTGATAACGCTGCTGCGTAAGTCGACCTGCCTCTCTGGCACACACACATAAACTTTCTCCCTCCCCCGGACACAAAGATCAAAGCGTTATTCGCGAAATGGCCACTGACCATGTAACGCTAGTCTCGCAAACAAGCTCTGGCTCAAGGTCGCCGACGTGGCCTCCCTCGAGGGTGACTACTACAAGGCCATTGAGAACTACGAAAAGGTGGCCGCGGTATCCATCAACAACAATCTAATGAAATACTCGGTCAAGGACTACTTCCTTCGCGCAGGCATCTGCCACCTCGCCACGGGCGACATGGTGGCCGCCCGCCGCGCTGTCGAGAAGTACACCGATATGGACCCCGGCTTCGCCCAGCAGCGCGAGGCCATGCTCCTTAACGACCTGCTCGCTGCCGTCGAGGGCGGCAACCAGGAGGAGTTCACCGACAAGTTGTTTCAGTATGACCAGGTCAGCAAGCTGGACAAGTGGAAGACGACGATGCTTGTCCGCGTCAAGAACGCCATTGAGGAGCCCGAGGACGAGTTCGCCTAAGCTTTGGTCGCCTGGAGGACGGAGAAACAATGAGAGAGCATGAGGGAAGAATGCGGCAGGTCGTGAAGAAAGATATCAAAGAGCTTGCCCCCAAACCCTTTTCCTATTTTTTATTTTTTTAGGCCTTGTCCCCACCCCCCCCCCCCCCCCCCCCTATTCATGGAGCCGCGGAATGAATCATGAATTGTGAGATGGGCACAGGAGAGGAAACCACGTTTGCCTTGGGGTCAGGGAAGAGCTGAGAGCATGGTGTGTGCTTGGGGGGAGTGAGGCAGCTTAAGAGAAAGAACCGAGAGAAAGGACTAAGAGAAGTCAACCAGGAGAACCGGCATGCAGTCGTTCGCCCCCCCCCCCCCACCCGCTTGAATAGAAACCCGCATCCGATGAACCAACCACCTGATAGTCTCGAACCCTGTGTCACAAAACAACGTTAGATCACAGTGTGCAGATGCGCGCGGCTGAAGTTGACCATCCCAATACCTCGGGGAGGGGTCTATGGTGTTTATTTCGTTTTCTCTTCACCTCTTTGATCTAATCTGGCGCGCAGAAGACCGAGCGAAAAAGACCCAACAGCAGCATTGTGGCTACAAACAGACCAGTATGTGTGTGGCTTACCGAGTCAAGCCTCGTCATAATTAAAGATGTCCTCTCGCTCACTGATGCCCTTCTCTAACTGCTTGCTTGCTAGTTTGCACTTCCTGCTCGACAACAATGCAATTATCCGGAAATGGCTATAAAAATCCAAATCCCTGCTCACAAGTGGAAACTAAAAAAGAATTGACAGAAAAGACGGCTTCTAATGAGGACCCCCTGGCCCCCTTTTTACCCCCAGACTCCTCCCTTATGCCGAAGTGGTTTTGTACAGTTCTGCCTCCCGCCGTTTGCTAACACACAGTCTCCCTATCGTACAGTACAGGAAGGCAGAATGGGAAATGGTCGTCGAATCATGGCCGGGTATTGTGCCGGCATTTTTCATCGTCAGTTCAAAATTTGGGCGGACTGCCAACCATGCTGGGAACTTGCTTTCGGATGAGACCTCGTGTCCGTTGCTCTGCCCGAGGGACGCCCTGAATTGCTCGAGGCTCTCTCATGAGACTGGGATCCAGCTTGGTGGGAGTCCGGGTGACCACGGTGTGGTACTCGCCGGGGAATTTGGCGCTGGGAACGGGCACCGAAGCCGTCCGCCACATGTGGTCGGAGGTGTCGCCCAGGTAAGTGGGTATCTTGAGCTTTGACGGCGCAGCAAAGCCTGACGCGTTGCTCGATGCACCATGCGACATGCGAATAGTCGACAGACGTGAGAATCCCGTCGAGAGCCCCGGCCGGCCACGAGCCTTCTTCGCCATAATGATCTCATCAAAAAGACGAATCGAAGAGTCAGTGGCCAAGTGAGTCTCTCGCTCGTGAATGAATTCGTTGAAAGCTGGCGAAAGTTAGTAAGAAATGGAAGCACAGAGATTACCAGACAACTCTTACCTTGAGTATCTCTCAACATCGTAGCATACTCCTGTTGGTCATACGGTAGACTCTTGATGTAACCATTCATGTCGAAGGAGTAATGCTGACCATTGCTCTTTTGCTCCCGGGTAGGACGGCCGAGGTGCTTCCTGTAAGTGTACAGCAAGCTGGCGAGACACCGGACAAAGGAGGCCCGAACACGATCCGAGTGGAACGCTTCCTTGCATACCACAGAAACTTGTCCGAGGCAGCGGTTGTGAGCATAGCCATTGCAGTGGGAGCACTGATATATGCCATCTCCCTCGGACTTGTCGTCGCATATCGAACAAGTGGACGACATATCGTGGGGGATCCAGTTGAAGCAGTGACCCTCAACCCAAACCATGGTATCGGTGTTTTGCACGGGCTGGACCAGCATGTTGGGCATGATGGTCGATGCTGCCAGTGTGGACTGGGCATAGGCCGACGGGGCATAGCCAGGCGTGTAGCCTCCGTACGATGACTGCGAGTCGACTGACACGGCGGATAACGACATGCTAGGATTGTGACCGTTCAGGAAAGGCAAGCTGGGCCGGTGCAGCGGCGGGTGCTTGTCCATTCCGAAGGATGAGCTGCGACGAGACTTTTCGTCAAAGTGACCTGATTTCTTCTCTCTCAGGGTTTGGGCGAAGCCAGAGTCGCTTCGGGATACTGGCGTAGTCGGCATTGGTGGGAAGTTCATGGAAATCGGCGAAACAGACGACTGCGGGCTCGTTTTGCCGGACTTGCTGGTACCGGGGCGGTCTGACTTGCTGTGGTCGCCTGCCTTTGAATGCAGGAAGGCATTGAAGATCGGGGGTCGCACCGAGTTCGGCGGCTCCGGCTCCCCAAACGATGAGGAGTTCTGCGTGACCCATTTGCCGAGGAGACTAGAGGTGACACTAGAGTTGAACAACGTATCGTTCTCGACTGAAAAGGCATCATATGGGTACGACTCCATCGCGTATGGCGGAGGACCGGTAGTCACTCCATACCGAATATGATGCGGGGCAGCCACGTGCAAGAGGGAGATGAGCTTGCGGCGGTGCTGCCGCGGCAGGCGGACAGGTTGCGCAGTAGCGTCGATCGTATCCATGTCCAGGTCGACCAACACATAATCGTCGTCCGGCAGCTCGATCTTCTCATAGCGTCGCTCGATACCGACGATGTAGGGGCAAGGCGCCTCCAACGCGGAGATGAGACGTGCGGGAAGCACGGGAATGAAGATGCTCGCCCACTTAAGGGGATACAACAGGCTGACCAGTGCGTGACATGCAAGATGGAGCATGCCGGTGTGGGAGGATATGAAGATGATGCGAGACTCCGACATGGCATACTCGAACAGGGCAACAATGTTCTCAATGGACAGGCACCTGAACAAGGCGTAGATGTCAATGGTCCTTGACCCCGGGATCTCGTTGATGGCCTCCTTTCGGCAGTACAGCCGCAGCTCCCTCACGCCCAGCTCGACCTGTGTTTTGGAGCCCAGCGGGCTAAACGCCTCGGTGCAGAGGTTAACGACATACCGCTCGAGAGGTTGCCAGCGGCCAACCTTGGGTGAGCTAGGTGGCACTCGAAGCACAGCGCCATCGGTCATTGGCACGACAACGGCTCGCAGCCACTCTTTCCAGAACGTCATTCTCGTGGGGTCTCTTCCCAAGATACCGTAGGCCCTGGGTGCCCACAGCCCACTCTCTCCGGCAGTCAAGCCGTCGATCTTGGATGCGGCACCATGCCGCAGCGGTCTCAACATTTCTGTCATGAGACTGATCTTCTCCTCCACGGTGCTGATCTGATCGTCGAGGGTGTCTCGAGCGGAGGATCCCGAGGGTATTGTGGGGAGCTTTGCAAGGAGCTGAGAGAGGTGAGCACGCTCGGCTGCCAGTCGCACACCGAGACTGGCGGCCAGCTCCCGCTCCTCGTTGGACATGTGACCCTGCCGCCACTGCTCACACTTCTGTTCAACCTCGTCTGCAACCTCGGACGTCAGGGCAGTCCAGATTATGATGGTGATGCCGTAGATCTTGGAGTTGTCGTCCGAGGTCATGGTGAAACCGTGCCACGTGGAACGGGGGCGCTCGTCTGAGGAGACGATCTGGATGTCGTTCGGGAAAGCAAACATGGGGACGTAGTCCGGAAATTTGCCACGACGGCTGGTTTCGTCTGTTGCGTCCTTGGCAGGATATCTGTCCAACAGCACGGGCTCGAAACGTCTCTTGAGGGGGTGCATGTCTGGATCCGTGTTCAGGGGCTCTGGGGGAGGAATGACCGAGTTGTAGTTGCTCAAGCGCTTAGCAGTCCTAACAGAAGCTGGAGCTAGGGAGTTAGTTGACCGGAAAGGACTTGAGGATTGCGTTACGGAGGAGGGTGATGGACCTTGGCGGGGAATTGTACCGGCTCCCGGCGTGGTTGCTCGAGGAGTGGTGGGCTGTTTGCGCATGCTATTCATGTCTCGGAAGCTCATTTTGCGACGAATGCTGCCCTTGATGCTTCTCTCGATGCTGCGTAGCGGACTTCGCCGGCCGCTCATGTCGCCCTCGTCGGCTTTGATGCGCTCGGCTCTCGGGTTGACCATGGGAGGTCGGGCTTGTGTTCTGGCACCAGCACTGAAGGACAGGTCCTCGAGGAAGTTTTCCCGTTCGGCAGCGAACTTGAATAGGGCCTTGTCAAAGTCGAACCCCTCGATAAACTGCCCTTCGGCGTCGAGGCCATTGAGGCTGGGTAGGCCATTGAAAACATTGAGACCATTACCGCCTGAGGTACCGCCGGAGGAGCCGTTGATCTGACTAGAGTGAGAGGGACGAATGGTGGCGCTGCTCCGGTTGCTTCGCGTGTTCCCGTCGACTTCGTCCAAGGTGTGGATGGAAAACCGACCGTTGGAGGTGCGGCCGCCCGAGTTCTGCCTGGAATGACGACCAACGCTCGAATGACGAGCCACTCGCTTGCTCGGGGTTGCATTCACGTCGGCATCGCTCTCCTCATATTCGCTGTCCTCGGCGATGGTGGACTCGAGGTTGGAGGGGGGGGGCTGCGGGGTAGAGTCCTGGTAGGATATATACTCTACGCCAGCGATCCAGAAATAGTCGGCGAGCGGCGTCGAGGAGCTGTCCATGACATGTCACTTGCTGGTGACCAGCCGGGTTGGCGATAGGGCGATGTTGTCTTGGCCGGCGAGGATTTTTTATTCCCTCCCAACGTCTCTTTGCTCTCGCACGGGGGGCTGGCCCTGGCTTTTAATCGCGAGAGGGTCTCGGGGTCCTTTGCTAAGTTGACTGGTCAGGTCGGACTGGGGTGGTACTTTGAGGTACAATTCGCTGCGGTGCGGTGGGCGGCGACAGGGCAGGGGTCGAGGGGCCAGGATCCGGGAGGTCCTTAGGGGGGAAAAAAAGTCTCAGGCGATGACTGTAAAGGAATCGGCTCGTTTAGCTACGGACTCCTGTCGAGGTCTCCATCCGGAACTGGAGAAGAGGAGGGGGAACAGAAGGCGGTGAGCGCACGAACCAGGGAAAATTGCGACTGCTTCTCGGCCAGCGACAGCGAAGACACCAGCAGCGGAGCCAAGGGGGCAGGTGAAGCAAGGAAGCCGGAGGTAAAAGATCAAACCAGATCGGGGGCGGAAAGCGACGCTGTTGCGTTGGGTTGCTTGGTGTAGAGCAACTAAAGGTGAAGACGATTTGAGGTTGGGCTCTTGAAAGGTTGGAAGAGGTAGCGCGGAGGCGTGGTGTCAAGTGATGGGGCTCGCGTAGTGAACGAACGAGGCAGTCAAGCAGGCGTGTAGGGTAGGTAAGATGAAGCAGGCGAAGACGGCTTGAGTCAAGGTCGAAGAGTGAATCAATAACAGGAAGAACAGGAAGCCGCCAAAGGAGTGACGAAGACTGTGGACGTTGGAGGTTGTGGAAAGGTGGAAGTGAGAGGCGAGGAGTGATAAGGCGTCAATCAGCCAGATCGAACGAGGTTGGTGCCAGAACCAGGCTCTGGTTCAAGTGGTCCAGGTTTAGGTTGGCCGTGGACTTGGTCAAAGATAACGACGGCAAACGAGACTGAGGGGATGTTGTCTTGTTTTCCTCCCCTCGCGTCAATCTCTTGGTGACACAAACTTTCTATCCCTCCCTCCTTCGTTTTTTCGGCGGTGACGGACGAACAGACGCAGAGCCTCCCAAGAGAAAAAAGAAAAGAAAAGCAACAAAGAGGAGATTTCGTGGCGACGGGCTGCGGAGCGAGTCGTTGGATGGAGATGAAGAGAGAGTAAAGCAGAAAAAAAAAAAGCGAGAGAGAGACAGAGGCAAGATAGAGAAACAGGAACTGGCCTGGTCAGGTACCAGAAAGCCACGCGCCAGCGGTTATTCTTTTTTTTTTTTTTTTTGTTATTTTATTCCCCTGGTGGCGTTGCCGTTCGTTCTCCCTTTTATTCTATTCGTGTAAGGGGAAGCAGGCCGATAGAGAGACATGCACAAGAGGCAGGTACGGATGGTAGTTCCGGCTCAGGCACAGGCGCAAAGTGGAAGGCGACGGCGGGCATCTAACAATAACAGCCATGGGAGGGCCGGTTTGGGACGCAATGGGAAACTAGGGTGGTGATCGGGCTCAGCGCCAGAGAGAAAAAGGGCAAGCACCAGCCCTTCAGGCCCCTTCATTCGCTCGTCACCTGTTGGTGTTACCTGTCCGTGGAGGGGAGGAGGTGGTGTGCGGTCTGCGAAGGGGGGTGTGAGCTATAGACGCTAGACTGTGGTTACGGTGATGTTGATGGCAGTGGTGGTGGTGTGGGAGGGGTGGGGATTGATTGATACGGAACGCCAGGCGGGCAGCAGCACAGTGGGCCGACAGGAGGCTCTCTCTCTCCTCTCTCTTTCTATCTCTCTCTCTCTCTCTCTTTCCTCTCTCACTCTCACCACAGTATCGTATCCAACATGCGGAATGCTGCCACTTGCAGGCGTATGTGACAGCGTGCGGATGCGACTGGGGACGATGATGGAAGGGCGGGATAATGGATGGATAGGGTTAGTCACCACCCTGAGGAAAGTGAGAGTGGCACTGGGAAGTGAGTGCCCAGGATTGGGATGCGCAACAGCCAAGGGGGGTCGCAATGCAAAATGTTGCAGGGAAGCTCGAGACCAAATATCGGGGCCCGACTGGGTCATCCCACCAATTTACTACCTACTGGTGCTGCTATAGAGAAGACGCGTTTTTGCTGCTGTGAACCACGCCGTGCATTTTAATGCGCCATGGTCAGGCACCCCCTAGCCCTAGCCGCGCTCTACATCAGTACCTAGTAGTATACTACCTATGTTGCCATTCACCTTGAGCACAAGGCTGTTTGACGTGACCTATCGAACCTCGGTACGCTGCAGTGTGTTATATACCATATCACCTGCCATCACCCGCATGCTGTGCCGAGTATCATACTGCACTGGATTTCGCCAAGCATCTCGTCAGTATATAGGTACTACATCATGGTTTTTACCTGGAAGGACTATGTAGATAAGACATGCCAGACTGGATTGGCGTATCTGTCAGGTTCATCCCCCCGCCCTTGTTGAATCAAGGTGACGGATAACTAATTGGTGTGTTTCACACCGACTTGTTTTACTTCCTTTTCCCCTACACTAGATCTCAGGAAGGCAGGAAGAAGGAATGACACCTGCAGTAAGACCCCATCGAAGATATGTCTCTCGATAACCGTTACGTGTCTCGCGTCTTCCTACTAGCTGGCCGTGTCAACGACGTTTGTCTATTGTTCTCCTTCCGACCCTCCACCAGGACATTGACTATCTATCCATCCATGGCGTCCTTGATTTTTTCACCTCCTTCCTCTTGGCTCTCTCTCTCTCTCTCTCTCTCTTGAATTGGAGTTCTTCTCTTCGTCTAAGCTGTAATTGATCAAAGTCATGCACTAAGCTCCTAGAGAGAATCCTTCCTCATCTCTTCCATCCCCCCTTGCACACACACTATATAGTGAACCACGGATCGTGGCTATGAACACCCAGATAAGGCATCCGCAAGTTTGTGAAGCGTGAGGACCGCACTTGGAAGCAAGCCCCCTTCTAGGCCGTGAGCTAGCGTTGCCAGGGGAGAGCCTATCTGGCTAGCAACCCTTCACCCTTACTAGAAGACTGGCGACGACAATTTGGGCCTTGAGCATCCCTCCCCCTGGACTATTCATACCGTCGTGGGCAATTGCCTGTCGATCATCTCATAACCATCATGGTCGGGCTTCCGCAGGGGCCCACTTCACCCATAATTGTCCATCCACAGATTATGCCCATTAGGAGGTAGGTAGCGTAATGTAGTCTGATCGCTCACTGTACCAACTTCTCCTTCGTACTCTGTAGTGTACAAATAGGCCCTTGTTGGTGTGAACTTGGTCCACGAGAATGCTGGAATGACCATTGACACACCCACCATCCTCCTCCAGCATCCACCCTCGCTCCTCATCCACCCTCGCTCCTCATCCACCCTCGCTCCTCATCCACCCTCGCTCCTCATCCACCCTCGCTCCTCTCCGAGCCCTTGGCTCGGGGATCTATCTTCTTTTTCAGCTTCAAGCCCACTTACTTCCCACCGAGGCATGTGCACTGCACTAATAGCAAATCGCTCTTTCCCCTTACTTGTCGTTTGATTCTGCTAAACGCCCGGCGTGGCATGATGTACCTGCCTAGGTAGGTAGCTTGGTCGCTGCCGGGGCATCGTATCCTCCCTCTCCTTGCCTTCCATAAGTCTCATCTCTCATCTGTCAGCTCTCATCTGTCAGCCCTCACTTTCTTTCCCGACCCCGGCCGGCTAGTTTTTAGCATCTTGCGTCCCCCATTGTCTCCTCGAAGTCTTAGGCGCCTGCTCCAATGAGAGGGGATCTGACTTATGAGCTATTTGTACTCGGCGCGCTAGCACGTAACGGCGATTCCAAAGCTACGCTGACGCTGCGCCTGTCATGCAGACACACCAGTATCCCACGCCTCTTTCTCCAGAAACGCACGTGTAAGAAACGTTCCACCACGAGGCAACAAATCCCAGCACTGCGTTTGTTACTGAATGCGTACAGCCATACACGCCTCCTCCCATCTCGCAACACTTTTTTTTTAACGCACCAAATGACAACAAGCCCACGGATGCGGATGACCGTCCCTCATCCGCAAGATCCAGAGTCTCTAGCTGATGCCCGTCCTCTTCATTCAACGAGGACGATGACTGGCAACCATTACCTCATGCTGCAGCTTGTGAGGACCGAGATGCCGCGCACCGGTTGGTGTTTGGTTCATCCCGATCCAAACACCTTCGGAACAAAAACCACCCAAAGAACAATGATCCTTGCATGCTGTGTTGGTACCATTCGTTATGGGTGGGCCATCTCCACCAGTTGTCGTATCCCATCCTCATGGCTGTCAAGTAAATTGAGATCCTTGTCCTCTTCCTGGGCCGCTCCTCGTTCAGACTGACTCTGTTCAATGCTAAACTTCCCTGTCAGCGCGCCTATTCCGCTACTATGGTATGTCGATGGTGATGATGATGATGGTGGTCCATACAACTTACAAGTACTCCGTACCCTCACTCCAACGAACGATTCTTAGCACGAACTGTCGAGATCCGCATGTTCATCCGACTACCACGGCCAAGACCATGGTGAGAGTCTTTGCCAACCTAGTTGACTCACCCATCCACCCCAAAAGTCAACCAGCCAACCATGCAAGTTGCCCAGGGGTTGTCTGGCTTATGCTTCACACCCTTTCCATCTGTGGGTAAAGTCTCATTGCCCTCTCACAGCTCTCGGAAGCAACCCACGGGGACGACCGGCTGCAGTACATCAGGCAGGCTCTTTTGACACGCACGGTATTTCAATGAATACGAACGGACGCGCGAAACCGGGGCAGAAGAGCAAGCCAGCAGCAAGATTCAACCAAGGCGGCCTGCATTCCACCACCGCTCCGCTTCCAAGCACTCCTCGCCCCTTCCAATGCACCTTGCCTCGAGCCGGCATCTATCAAAAACCCTCCTTCAGGCGCAACTGCTTGCCAAGTTGCATGCCTCGCAGCTGCCATAAGTGAGCAAATAAGTGAGCACCCGCCTTACCATGCATTTACATGTTTCAGAATGACGTTGATGGAAATGTGTCCTGGTCCCATTACCCTGAGTAGGCCTTCATCCGCCGCGCCGACGCCTAGGTCGGACATGACCGTGGATGGCTGCCAGAATCGGCCACGGCGGCTCAGAGCGACCCCCCAAACGCACCGATTTTGGACACGCACAGAGGATATAATATCATCTCATTCTTAGTAGGTCGAGGGCTGCGATTTATGCCTAACCGTGGGCCCGAGATTCCGAACATGGCGGGCAAGGATTGGCGCACAGCTTCAATCGTCTGTGGGTGATTCAGTGCGTGCTTGGTGCTCACTGGCTGTATTCCTCCCTAGAGCCAGCCCATCACGAACCCCTTCCGATCGGCCGAAACCCAAATACCAGCCAGCACCGGGAGACAGCAACAATGGCACTTTACTCATTCATCACGTCTGGGAGCCCCGGGCCATCTCTTGGAATATTCTATAAAGATACGAGCCATGCGCATACGCCAACAGTCGCGCAGCCCTTGGACCTAGGTCGCCTGTGAAGCTTGTTCCCGTCAGACCCGCACCCAGAGGCCAGCAGGCTTTCGACACATTGTACAGAATGGTCCAGGAACAACGACGGCTCGACGGGAACGTCAGCCACTGCAGACTCCTATTTGCTGCAGCCAGCCAAAGCCTGAAGAAGTCTTTGTTTCAGATCTCGCCTGCATACCGAGTCAACCTGCGCGCTAGATTTTATAGCGTACAGAAATATATTAGCTGGCACTTCATGGTCTGGCCTAGCCTGCGTACCTTATCTGGCCCCTTGCACGCGATAGCGACTCGTCATTACACCGGATTTGGATCATCCTAAAGAAAAAGTTTGCCGCTAGGAAGGCATGGCGCATGGAACCTTCAGCTTCCCACGCTCGTCAACACGATGCAACTCCTCAGGCGGGCCGCGACACCCAGAATTCTCGCCTTGGGTCGCAGCCGAAACACATCATCGCTTTATCCTGAGTCCGCTAACCCATGTGACAGAAGACTACATGCCCATTCCAGTCAGCCAACCCCAGTCGTTCCCATTGGGAACGCTAGTATCCTGTACCCGGAACTGTGGTTGGGATGAATGCCAACGGCCGGTGCAATAAGATTGAGCTGCCTCTCCAAAACCGCCCTTCTTGTGGTCGTGCCTTGAAGGCCCCTTGTTAGGTCGAAGAGATGAAGTCCGGTGGTGGCTCTCCTTATTACATTAGCCGCAAGACGCCCAATGCGGTCGACTATCTCATTCCGCATCTCAATTTATCTCCAACATCGGCCTGTCCAGAGCAGGGAAGATGCTCGAATAAGCCGAAGCCACATGTTGGTCCAATTCATTTGTGAATGCAGGATGTGAAGCAGGTTCTTGCGAACCGAGTACATAACGGAAGCAGAGCAACCAAAGCTGCGAAATCCCTGCTCACCCGTCGTTGTGTAACCCAGCATGTCACTTTGAGTACCTATAACAAAGACCTCTGCATCAACGACAAGAAAAGCATACTGTTATAGCGTCGACCCCTATTTCCTTCCGGCAAAGCACAGAGACATTTGGAGAACGAGCCTCTGGAAACGGGGGCAGGCGGCATAGAGCGAGAATAGATCCGTCGGTCTACAGTATTGGGACGCCGTAGACACGCAATGGACTGTCGAGGTTTTGTCCACACCAACCACTGTTGGGGGCTCTGACCGGATAGGGGAGACTCAGGGGATATATTCAAAAATTTTGACATGACAACTTGGGTGAAGCGCTACCTGGTGGCGCAGCCCAAGCGCGAGGAGGGAGAGGAACTTGCGCTACGGTTCTGGCTCGACATTTTCAGGGCATAGACCATACTCTAGCTGAAGATGAATGTGAGCCGCCCACGACGCGGTTTTAGTTCCCCTGAACGCGGTAGCGCCTCTCCTTTCTCGGAGGCTTTCTCATCGGTGGCTACCTTAACCCTCAAACCACGAAGGATCTGCCCCGCGCCCCACCTGATGCGGCAATTAGCTATGAGCAATGGTGGTTTGGTCAGCCTTCAACCCGTGTGGATCCAGCCTCCGCTGCTCATCTAGAGATCTCCAGCTCGAGCGCGGCCCCGGGTATCTTTTTCCCGATCGGACCAAAGCCTGATAACGGCGCGGCCTACTCAGACGGTTCTCCTGACACTGGTATGCCACTGCCGCTCAGCCGATGGACCCCTTGATCCCTTGACCCCTTGAGCCTTTGGGAAAGCCGCCTCAACTTGTCTGGCTTTGAAAAGTGCTCGCCTGTCAAAATCGCGCTCAGGCGACGTGTCTTGTGCCAAGCTTGCCCGTGGAAAGAAAGCCCCTGTTGCCCATCTCCCCCCTCCACCCGATGCCAAGGACGCCAAATATGATCCGGCCGTCCTCGTCCGGCTGGGCCCGAAGGGAGCCCTCGGCCTCCTCCACGACGAAGCACACCTGCTCAACCTCACCTGGGTGCAGCACCGGCCGCGCGCCGCCCCCGGCCTCCCAGTTGCAGTCCGTGTAGCTCAGCCCGTCGACGAGGTCCAGAACGACCTTCTCGAGCTGTATGACGTCCTCGGAGCAGTTCTCGAGCTGTGCCTCCATGGCCCATCGCCTGCGGGCCCCGTGCCGCCCGCCGGGGGCGAGAGGCCCGATCTTGGTGCGGACGATGAGCGAGGACTTGCAGATGAACTGGTACAGCTTGCGGAACGTGCGGGTCTTGCCCGAGGTCTCGGTCGCCTCATAGTAGCTCACCGTCACGGCGAGGACGTGGTTCCCCTCCTCCTTGAGGTCGAAGTCGACGATGCGCTGCAGCGTGTCGCCCGGGCCGAGGTCCGTCCCTTTTGCGTCGCCGTCGTCGGCGGCGGCATGATCGGGCGGGGAGAGCTCGAGCTTCTGGACCGAGTTTGCGCCGGGGGTCTTCATCTCCGCCTCGATGCGGACGTCGCGGATGCTCTTGCGCTTCGGGGCGCCGCCGCCGCCGGCGCCGGGGAGGGGCTGTCCCCCCGGACCGACTAGGGGTGCGGGGTCGGGTACATCATGGTTCGCGCAGAGGGTGCAGCTGAAGACCTCGCCGACGTAGGCGGAGCCGAAGCTCAGCGGGAGGTTTAGGATCGGGGAGAGGATGAACGGGGCAGGGTTCGTGGCGCCGGTCGTGTCGTAGGCGAGGGAGGCTGGGGTCGCGTCGACGGGGACGGTGGAGGGAGTCAGGGGCGCGCGGATCGGGTGCTGGGTTACGAGCGAGGGACGGGAGAGCCTGGTTTTTCACAAATGGGTCACGGGTCAGAATACGGACACTGTTGATCTACGAGGGGAGCGGAAGGGGGAAGATCACGAAGGGGGCGCAGGTGCGGTAGGGGTGGGTAGGTGGGTAGCTACCTGAGGACTTTGAGGGAGACGGAGTGTGGCTCCTTTAGGGGGTCGTGGGACGGGTATCTTTGGTGGCTCATCGTGTTCAAGTCCCCTCGTTTCCCCGGGAATGGCAGGAGGGCCAGAGAGCGTGCGGTATTGGAGCAGTAGTCGGAACTCGGGACGGTGGAGGACAATGGAAGTGACAATTGAGAGGGAGTTTTGGAGATCTTCGGTGGGACGAAATGACGATAGAGCCTTTAGCTGTGGTGGATACCGTGTGTGTTATCGATAAGAATGTCGCCTGGCGGCAAAGGCCCGGCGGAGCTCTTCCCCGCATCATTCCGCGTGGCCCACCCGATTCGGGGTTCCGGGTCAGCAGCCCGTGGTTTCGGGGTCGGCGGATTAGCGCACTGTCGTCTGCTGTTTCCGAACGCCGCAGGGGGCGATTTGTTTTCATTGCCGGATCTTGTGTGATCCGGGCACTGAGACTTGACTCAAATGTACCTTCAGGTTGGCATTATATCGGAAAAGCCCAACGATCCTTTTTATCCCTTAATTAGGTAGGAAACCAGAAGCTGGTTACACACATCATAGCAGTGAGAATGCCTGTGATGTTCTAGCAATTTAAGGTTCCAGTCAAGGGCTGCGTAGGATCTGTCCTTTTCCCACTCAGGACTTATGATTCTTTCTCTGTAGTTGAAGAATAAATAATGCGCCATAACGAGCTATGCGGGCCTAGCTTGAATCTGCTGCAGTCTTTCGGATGATTGGCCATATTCTTTGCTGCTTAACTCTATGGTAGCTGTGACAACGTAGGGAGCGCCAGTTCTAAAAGAGACCCGATGCTAAGAATCCGAATGTAGAATATAATCACCAAGAGAAGGGAAAACACAAATGACCTCAACCTCAATGGAACTTATTCATGACGTAACCACCTTCCGTGTTCCGGCCGAAGCCTGCAGAGTCCCTCCCCTAACGGCCATGTCGTAGTAGCATCGAGTGTATACCATACCCATGAGCTAACAATAGGCAACGTGGTTGGCTTCGTGTGTGTTTGTGCCAATAATCCACTAGATTGGTTTTTTTTGAACCTCGTCCTAGAAAAGAACTGATCGCAAGCATGTGCTCAACATTGCGTATCCGCCGAGTCTGGAATGCCCCAGTATACAGTTCTACTACCCCCGCCTTCCCCACAGATAGCCCTTGACGATGGCTGGCTAGATGATCATTCCAGGGAAGCAGAGTATCGCGACCGTACGGGGGCTATCATCGGTTCAGTTTGGCCCCAAGAATCGTTAACCGGTGAAGACCAAAATAGGCCACTGGACGGGGGTTCCTCCCCCTGCGCCCCGCCCATGTATTCGGCAAAATGCGGTAGCGATAGGAAGTTGACACATCGCAGGGGACGTGTAACTGCTTTCCACGAAGACTAGATCCGAATGTGAAGGATTCGCTGACAGTGGTCACAGGCGATAGCAGTTACAACAGCAGCCAGCGAAGATGCCAACGACTCATATTTAGTCTTACTTGTGGGTGTCAGCAGTCGTTTCATTATTCACGAAAGTGTCATATCTCCTAAGCTAGCTTGCAATGCTTGATATCCGTCCCGAGGATGGATTTATCGAAGCCACAGTAGCCTGCTACTTCCACGCAACAGGCGACATGATAGTGAGGACACAATGACTCAACTGGGGAGCGGCTGTATTGTACCCACGACAATACGCTCCCTTTTTGCGTCGCGAACAGGTGACAGACTCCAGACAAGGTACGCAAACGAATCGTGCTGTAGAGTTTCACGCTCGGCATAATACAGCAGCAACCTTGCTAAACCTGCGATCGGATGCAATGTCTAAGGCCTTGAGTAAGCTCGTATTACTATGTTTAATCATGTACAACCACAGTCGCTCCTCAGTTCCACCATGTCCATGACCGTCATCTGCGACGTCTCATGCGTTCTCCAGTACACCTCCACAACCTCTTCTCCTCACCAAGTTATCATGTAATAACGGCTAGAATTTTCGCAAGTTCTCTCTAAAGACCGGGCGGGGGTGGCACCTGCCATGCATGTTAGCTTTGATGGTCTTTTGCCTTCAAGTTTCCTATAGGCACTTACTGAGCCATATGCTCCGGTGCCGGGAGGTGAGCCCGATGGGGGTGGCGGGGGAGCAGAGCTCGGAGGAGGTGGTGGCGGCGCGGCCTCACTAGGCGGCGGAGGAGGGGGGGATGCAGACGTCCCAGGGGGTGCGGGTGAGCCCTGCTGCTGTGCTTGCGCAGCGGCATAGTACTGCTGGTACATCTGAACGTAAGCAGCGTAACCACCGTAGGCAGCGTACGGGTCCTGTCCGCCGTAGTACTGTGCATACTGGGCAGCGTAGTCGGCTCCGGCAGCGGGGCTGTTAGAACCACCGGGAGGAGCCGGGCTCGCCGATTGAGCAGCACTGTGACCGCCATAGCCGCCGTGGCCTCCGTGGCCACCTTGAGCACCATGACCTCCGTGTCCAGAGCTGTAGCCGCCACCGCCATGGCCGCCGTGGCCTTGGTAACCACCGTGGCCGCCGCCGTGGCCACCATCGTGGCTGCGGGACCGATCGCCATAGCCACCACCGCCGCCGTAGCTACGAGGCGGTCTGCTCTTGAACTCCTCGTATTGCTCCTTGACGTTGGCAATCAAGTCCTCACAAAGCTCTTTGGCCTTCTCAACCATCTTAGGATCAGGACCACTGCTTCATGTCAGCAAAGGGACATTCGGGATGTCGGCTGTATGAACTCACGCAACGTGAAGGAACATATCTTCGTCGCTCTCTTGGTTGGTAGCCGCCTCCAGGTATCCGGAACCACGTCCCTTGATTTGGACACGGCATTGAGTTTCCTGCTGGATGTGCTTGACGTAGGCACCTCCATGACCAACGACCTGGGCACGAAGGTTGAATCCCGGGACGGATTCCAAGCCGATGGGGATCTTCTCCTCGGGCCATTTGCGCTACAAATTGTCAGCATATACAAAGACAAGAAAAGGGGTAGCCTCAGTTTGACACATACTCGGCCGTATTCATCTCTCTCGACTTGCTCTTGATCGCGGCGACGGAAACGACGCTCGTCGACCAGCGCGGGGAGCTCCTGTTTCATGAGTTCTTCTATCTTAGCAACAGCCTGCTCAAGGCCCTTCTTCGATGTGCTCGTGACGTGTAGGTACAGGGGCGGATTCTGCAAAGGCAGGTAAGTGTGTATTCCAAAGAGTGGAGGCATGTAAACATACCGCAGCGGTAGCCATGCTCTTGTCGGGATAATAGTTTCCTCGGGTAGTAACATCTTGCAAAGTCAACCTTGGTTTCTCACACGACGTAGTTATGGGAGATGTTGCGTACCAGCACCGGTCTCTTCTTTGATCTAAATCAAGCAAATGGAGTCAGCAGGTGCCAAAGAGGGGCGATCTGTGCGAGCTATCGTGCCAAGTAAGCAGGACGATCTCGACACAAATCTATGGATATGTAGGAAAGCGGAATTCGCCCGAGGCGAGGCCTGGGAGGGAATAATGATCAGTGGTTTTACACAGGAGTATTTACCATCTTCTGAGTCGATCCTTTGGTCAGGAGGTATCGGTTGCGAAGGTCGTTCACTTCAATGTCTTTGATGTAGTCGCCATCGGCAATATACATCTCGCCATTGATCGTGTTGGCCGGATCGGGCGACTGCGTACCGCCGATAGGGGGAGTCGCGGTTTTGATCGGAGGAACATCGACATGCTGGATGCCTTTCTTCGCCTGCAGTTGTGCGTTGATTCGAGCGGCCGCGGCGGCTGAGAGTCTACAGTTAGCCATTTATTCATCTACCCTGCGAAGTGGACACGGGACAATCCGTACCGGCCGCAGCAGCGGCATCCACGGGCGACTTCTTCGGCTCAGGCGCGCCGTCATCTGCCAAAGGGCTACGATCTCTCGCCGATTCCGAGCGCCTCGAAGGCGGCGAACGGGAGCGGCGATCGAATCTCGACGCCTTGCGCGGCTCGGGTTCGGTTTGGTCGAAGCGCGAGCGCTTGGCAGAGCGTCGCTCGGTATCGTCCATTGCGGCTGCGCACAAATGGCAGTGGCTTTGTAGGGAACCGTCACCGGAAGATTGAAATTGGATGTCGGCGTGCGTCTGAAAATACACAGGCGCCTATGGATATGCTTATGGGAAGCAAAAGATTTTGGGTAAAATTTACGAGGCTTGAAGCTCTACACAAGTGGAGCCTTGCGAATGGCTAGGCCAGAATATGGCGGCTTGGTCTGTGCGGCGCTCTGGTTACATCCATCACGGACCTAGCGCCTTGGACATTGCCTAGCTGATTCTTCACGTAGGTAGGTAGCCTGCAACACTAGCCACATTTGTTGCCTCGGAGCGAATATCGGCAGGAAGCTGCCACGGCAGTCTTAATGGACCATGCACCTTTCCAATGATGCCCAATCGACATCGAGCTTGAACTGGAATGTTGTCCATTCCACCGGCATGTTTGTGGTCTATGTAGGTACGAATGTACGGTACCTTGCCTTGCGATTGACGGCGGCCTCATTTGAGTGCGAGAAACTGAGATGGAAGCATCCGGAGACACAAGTTCCCTTTAATCTCAATGTTCCGTCTATTTAAATGTCTGCCGTCCCCAGAGTCATTGCATCAAGTGTTACCACGCTCTTTCATAAACTTTCCACAGTGAGTTAGTCATCTCGAGACGTTTGGCAGGAGGCAACATTATCAAGGATGGTACTGACTACGGGCTATTGGATATCCATAGAAGCCAAGGCGAGATTTCAGGCACTAAAATGGCTTCAGGTTACTGAACGCTGCACAGTTTACTTGTTTCTATTGAGACCTCGGATATTAGTTGAATGGTTGCCGTTTTAGTAGCTTATATACTCACTCTTGACACTTCTGAGAGCTGTTTATCAGCCCAAGGTACCTAGTTTGGGAGCCTCTAAACTAGCAAGACTCGAAATATAGCTTGTAACCAAACACCTTAGGAATACTCCGTACAGTATCTGTAAAGTATAGTTACTTTGCAAATGCTTCTACACAGTGTAATATGTAGCCCCGCACCCTCCAATTCCGACCCCGCGATGGAGAGTCAATGGGAGTCCACTTACTCGGTGACAACCCTTGTCGGGAGCTGATCCGTGCCCCACCTCCCCTGCGAACGGCTGCCTCCCCTGCCTCCGACTTGCCTCCGAACAATTATCCCCCAATCTCCTCAAATTTTCCCGGTGGAACTTGCGCAGACGGTGAGTCAGTTGGCTCATATCTCTCCGACTGTTGTCTCCTCGAGCTCGTCGTCACATATCTACAGGTCCCGAGATCCGTCCTTCATCTGGTCAAGAGAGCAATTGGCTGTTCTCGCAATTGATCAGGAAAGATGGCGTCTCGCCGCCTTGTTTCCACCTCGCTATGGCGGGCAGCCACTGCCCCGGCCCAAGCGACATCGCTCTCCGCCGCCACACGATGGAGCTCAACCACCAGCTCGACCTCTGCCATCGCCTATAAGGCTCTTCGACGCCGTTCGGCGCCTCTGCCCGTGAGCGACAGCCCACCCGCCTGGTCCGCCCAGGCCGCTGTCTCCAACATCCTCTACGACATGCCCTCCCCGTCGTCGCAGCCCCCGAAGCGTCACATTCTCAACTGCCTCGTCCAGAACGAGCCTGGTGTGCTGTCCCGCGTTTCCGGCATTCTCGCCGCCCGCGGCTTCAACATCGACTCTCTTGTTGTTTGCAGCACTGAGGTCGATGACCTGTCGCGCATGACCATCGTCCTGACCGGTCAGGATGGCGTTGTCGAGCAGGCCAGGCGTCAATTGGAGGACCTTGTCCCTGTCTGGGCTGTGTTGGACTACACCAACGCCGCTCTGGTCCAGCGCGAGCTCCTGCTGGCCAAGATCAATATTCTGGGACCTGAGTACTTCGAGGAGCTCCTCGCTCACCACCGCGAGATGACGGCCGCCGACTCTGAAAGCGAAGGTGCCATTGACGCCGAGCAGCAGTCGTTGGAGGATGTTGCCAAGGACTTCCACCCCAGCAAGCTCGCCATCAGCGAGGCCCTGCGCCACAAGCACGAGCATCTCAAGTCCATCACCTACTTCGCTCACCAGTTCGGCGGAAAGGTCCTGGATATCAGCACCAACAGCTGCATTGTTGAAGTGTAAGTCGGTCCCTTCGGCGACTGAACCCATTCGTGTACTGACTACTGCGTAGCTCCGCCAAGCCGTCCAGAATCGACTCTTTCCTGAAGCTCATCGGGCCATTCGGTATTCTCGAGTCCGCCCGTACCGGTCTCATGGCCTTGCCCCGGTCACCATTGTATGGACCCAACGAGGAGACAATTCTGAAGGAGGCGGATGAGGTTGTTGACGCCAGCCAGCTTCCTCCTGGTTAAGTGGTTTTGTATCAACAAATATTCGGCGTTAGTAAAATAGGGGTATTGCCATCTTTCAATGCTACCAAGTTGCTATTTTATTCGATCTGTACCATTTGTTTGCCAAGAAAGTAACGCCACGCCTTTTTTTTTTCGTTTGGTTGTGATCCTTTTGAACGCCGATCCAAGTGCCTTTAGATATTGCCCTTGTTAACAACGAAGCCCTCAAGGGCGGCTTGTTGATCGTTAGCGCCTATGTACCTGCTGAGTAGCCGAGAACAAACTTACAGACAGCAGCCCACAGACGGTTTTCCGCCTCGGGGAAAACCAGGGAGCGAGAGCTGTAAAAGACCTCGTCGGCAACCTCCTCGGGATGACGAGGCAGACAATGCATGAACTTCCAGTTCTCCTTCGCACCGCCACGCTTGGCCAGTTCGTTGGTGATCTGATAGCCAGCAAAGGCCTTGAGACGCTTCTGGGATTCGGCCTCCTGGCCCATGGACACCCAGGTGTCGGTTACCAAGATGTCGGCGTTTTTGATAGCATCCTCAGGCACGGTGGTCTCGCTGAGCTTGCCGGGGGATGTAACGCCCTGAGCCGCAGAGGCAATGACAGCCTTCATGGCGTTGGGAATGCCATAGCCGGTAGGGGAGGCCACGGCGATGTCAACACCCATCTTGACACAACCAATGGCCAGGTCAAATAGAACGTTGTTTGAGTCACCAATCCAGGCAACCTTGAGTCCCTTCAGGCCGAGGTCAGCCTTGTCTGAGGTAGAGGCTGGAAAAACTTCGTGAATGGTCAAGAAGTCGGCAATGATTTGCAAAGGGTGGTAGTCATCAGACAGAGCGTTGATTACGGGTACGCTCGATTCTTTGGCCAGACCCGCGACGTCAGAGTGAGGGCCAACACGGGCAACCATGCAGGAAGTCATGGAAGAGATGACTTTTGAGGTATCGTACAGAGACTCGTTGACCTGGGTGTGTGTTAGTCAGATGTATCTTGTATAGTGAGAGCTTCGATCAACAAACCCCAAGCTGGATGTCGTCCTTGCCCAGAAACATAGGGTGACCACCCATCAGAGCCACAGCAGCCTCCGTTGAAACACGGGTGCGAGTGCTCCGCTTGCTGAACATCATGGCAACTGTCTTGCCAGTGAGGCCTGCGGCGAGCGCCGGGGGAACGTTACCGGACTTGACGGCGGACTTGTTGGACGCGGCATTGCGGACGAGGGTAGCGAACTCGGTGGGAGTCAGGTCCGCAATGGACATCAGATGGCGCGGGCCGGCTGACTGAGAGTAAGCTCGGCTCTGGATGCCGTTGAGAGCTTGACGAGTAACTCGGAAAGCCGCCTGCTTCATGATGGGCAACTTAACGGTCCGGGTTTGGGGAAACAAGACTTGCAGGATGAGACTGCTGTCAGAAGGGACTGGGACTGCTCAATTGAGCGCTCGAAGGTTTTGAGTTTTTTTCGGAAGGAGGATGAGCGAATCGCATCGGGCACTGAGGTCAATGGGTGTGTGGTGAAAGCTGGGTTGAGTCACAGATAAGCTTCAATTAAAACGAAGCAAGCTCAACGGTTGCTCCCCTCACCGCTTTACACCGAAAATTTCAGAGTTGGCACACAGATGGACCTGTAACTTCAGCACGCTGCAGGGCATCGAATGCAAGGTCTGGAGTATGCCATAGGCGGGGCCATCTGCAGGAGCCGGTGCTATGCATGCACCAACGCCGAAGGTACCTACCTACCTTACGTGTTTACTGTGCTCCGTACGGAGTACACAGTACAGACATGTGGCATAGGGATGGCCCGTGCACACACCCCACCGGCCCAGCCAGGCACCAAGCAGATGAGGGAAGATCATCCCCGGCCATCCACTCGGTGCAAGTCGGCCCTGCTGACCAGATCTCGCCTTATTGGTTTCAGCTGACCTCCACACCAGCATCCTCAACTGCACCGTCCTGGGATGGACCAGGTTTCTTGACATCACCACCATTACGAATCCCGACAATTTTGGCTTCTAGGAGCACCATCGGAAACTTGTCCACTTTCTCTCTGCATCATTTTCCTCTGTACGCTTTTCTTCGTTTCACAACTGTCCTCGTTCTTGACTGGCGATGACGGACTTCTTCCTGCTCTAGTCCAACCACCCCATCTCGCCAATTGCGATCACGATACCTGCCCCTCCATTTCACCATGGCCGAAGGCGAAGAGAGATCGCCATTGCTGGCACCAAAGGTCAAAGGAAGGGTGGAAGATGACTCTTCGCTATCCGAGTCGGCTCCTCTGCTCTCCAGCTCGTCTGCGACTCCCCGATACGATGGCGAACAAGACGACCCTGAGACTTCTCGCGCGCCCTCTCTGGCCTCGAACCGCCCAGAGACCAAGAGCTCTGTACGATGGGGGTCTATCATTTCGATATCGGTGTTGATCCTACTGGTAATCGGCATCATGGTTGGCTGCTTCTTTGTGCCCTCGGCCGTTCAAGTGTACGCCAAGCAAGCTGCCATCGTGGAGCCGACAAATCTAGCCTTGGAATCCATTACGGCTGAAGGCGTACAAGCACGCGTGCAGGCGAACTTTAGACTCGACGGCTCCCGGGTACACGACACAACATCTCGGAGAATCGGAAAATTTACGACTTGGATTGCGAGGCAATTGGGAACTGAGAAAACCACGGTCGGCGTCTATTTGCCGGAATACGACGGCGCATTGCTTGGCACCGCTGTGGTGCCACCACTTACGATCAGCATCGTCGATGGCCAGACCACTAAGATCGACTTCATTGCTGAACTGTCGCCTGGCGACCCCGAAGCTTATCGTAGGATTGCTAACGAGTGGCTGGACGGGAAAATCGATCAGCTCAAAGTGCTTGGGAAAGCCGACATTCCACTCAAGTCTGGAATCTTCCCGCTTGGCACCCACTCAGTCAGCGAAGTTTTGGTTTTTGAAGGTCAATCACTCTACCGCTCCTTCGCTTCCCTGTACTTCGGAGAAAAGGCGCTGCTTTGAATATCATTTATGCATCACTTACCTCGTTGTGGTTTGAAGCTCGAGACTAATACCTCACATAGCGAACCAAATCCCTACGCTGCCGCAGTACAACATCTCGCGGCTCAATTTCCGGGATGTACCAGGCAGGGACGGAAAGCGAACCGCAGTTGGTGCCGATGTTACAATCACGGCGTACAACGAGTTCCCGGTCAGCGTTGACGTGCCCGAACTTGGTTTCGAGGTTCTTGTTCCCAACTGTAATTCCTTCGACCCTTACATTCTTCTTGCGGACGCCACCACCAAGCCTGTCGCTATCAAGCCACGAAGCGATGTCACTGTCAATGTCTCTGGCATCATCCGAAAGCTTCCCAAGTCCCTGACACGAGTCTGTCCCAACTCCAAGTCGTCGCCTTTGGACAAGTTTCTAGGGCAGTACATGCGTGGCGAGGCTGCTACCGTTTACGTCCGGGGTCGGAAAATGCCCGATTCAGATACACCTGACTGGGTTGGAGACATTCTTTCCGAGATCACCGTTCCCGTGCCCTTCCCAGGACAAGGTTTCGACAACCTGATCAAAAGCTTTTCTCTCACTGATGTGAATTTCCAACTCCCCGACCCGATGGCAGACCCGGATGGCCCAGATGGAACCCCTAAGGTTTCTGGCACGGTCGAGGTACTCGCCAGCTTGCCGAAGGAGATGAACTTTGATATCAGTGTCACGAACTTGCGGGCTACAGCAGATGTGATGTACCAGCACAAAAAGCTTGGCGAGCTCAACTTGGACAAGTGGCAACCCGCGAACTCGACAAAGGTCGAAGGCACCGAGAAGCATGAACCACTCCTGAAAATCATGTCTCGAGTCGTCGATGCTCCCCTAAACATCACCGACGGTGACGTTCTAACAGACGTGATGCAGAGGCTCCTTTTCGGCGGCAAGGAGGTCTTGTTGGACGTTAAGGCCAGTGTCGCCATCCGCGTTAACACGGCTCTTGGAGTATTGGTTCTGAAGGATGTCCCTGCCGAGGGCAAAATCCCAGTAAAACGTCCGTATTAAATCTAACACTGTTCTGTTCGTCTTATCGTGGGTTGATTTCTTATGTCCCTGCTCACCATGGGGGATTATTGGATTCCAATCGCTTACACTGTTGCAGCATTGCCTGGCGACACCGTGGGTAACGTCCACCCGCAAGTCGGAGATATCAAGGTCATCAGTACATCCTCCTCGTCAATGACGCTTGAGGCCTTGGTTAACGTTACAAACCCGACACCGTACACAGCCGTTGTGCCATATGTCAATATCCACATCGTCCGGGACGGCTTTGTACTTGGTAGTGCAACCGCCGAGAACATGAGGGTTGCCAGGGGCATGAACACAAACCTCGTCGTCACCGCAACATGGAATCCCGCGGCAGGTGGCGAAGCAAGCCGGAAGGTTGCTAGTGATATGATATCGGAATACTTGTCAGGTCGCAACGTTACGATAGAGGTCAAGACCCACCGAGGAACCATACCGACTGCACCCATCATCGGTGAGAGCCTATCGAAGCTGAATATCAGTATCGCCGCTCCCAAGCTGCACCTTCCTGGAGGAGAAGAAAAGGAGGGACACTTCATCAGAGACGCAACTTTTCATTTGTTGTCTTCCACAGCGACGTTCACTCTGGTATCCCCGTTGCGGTATAATACCATCTATGTCGACTGGATTAATGCCACAGCTTTCTACAACCACACAGAACCGGTTGGACGTATTGTCTACGACCTGCCTTTCGAGGCACCTCCGGGAACATCTGTCACACCCAAGCTGCCGGTGAACTGGTCCATAGGCTCCGTGGGCTACGACGCTGTAAAGAATGCGCTCGGAGGATCCTTGAAGCTTGACGCTAGTGCGAATGTTACGGTCAGGATCGGTAACTGGAGGGATACGGTTTGGTATGAAGGCCAGGGACTTGGGGCCAGTATTCGTTTGTAAGGGTTGATTGGGTTCGGCGTTATCTGGTCATTATCGGTTTGGGCGGCGATTGTAAACGCCTCGTACGCTGAGCAGCGTGAAAACACAATTGAGAACTTGTAACTGAGTACAAAGTTTGGAGCGGCCTCGTGGCTCTGTTGATATGTGCATAGACTCGCTGTGGTAAGATACCTTCGTGATCACTACGAATATGTCATGAGAGTATATTTCTCTTTAGTTGGGAAATCCAGGTGTTTGTCGGCAGTCTTCTCATCTCCTGATAGATAAGAGTTCGTTGCGGGTGCTCTGTCGACGGAATGCGAAGTGCTTGCTGTGCTGACAGTTAGGTCAGGGCGGGCCTGAGAATGCAGGATTCTCATTTTGGTTCCAAACCAGTTTGTCAAATACTCCGCATAGGGAAGAAGAGGTAGGAAAACAGCAAAAATACCGCTGACGGATCCAAAGACGAGGTGCGCTGCACAGAAAAAATGCCCCCTATCTCACAATCTGTACCTCAACTGGCGATCACAGTGTGCCGGAACAGTGCCAGGGTGCCCACTTGACGTCCAAGGTCCCACTGTCGTCACGGCTCGTCACCACTCGCCCATATCTTCATTGCACGTTGACTTCACTTTCGAATCAGGACCTACGCGTATTGCCAAGAAACACCGTTAGAGCCCTCAGAAAAGGCCAAGCAACAGGCTCTTGATAAGCCGCGTCATTCAGGTTCACCAACGTCCACGGCTGACTGGCACCAAGTCACTTCCGTTTTCGCCGCTGCCCGTGCCATCGAATCACCGTCACCCTAGCAGCCGAACGGTCACTCTATTTTCATCCCACCGGCACCTGAGCATTCCCTCTCGCCATACAAATATGCCGAACCTCAATGGCAGCTTCTCGCCCTACGCCCCGCGCCGCCGCCGCTCCCCGCTTGTGGTCCTCACGTGGGTCTCCGTCTGGCTCACCGTCCTGACACTGACATGGTGGCTCGTGACGCGGCGCTCCTCTAGCACATCAGCGGCGGACCGGGACTTCGCAGACGCGGTGATCAAGGGCAAGGAGATCCCCCCTGATGCTGGTGCTTGATCCCGACGGTTTTCTGGATTTATTTTTATTTTGATGTATTTAATTACTCTGGAGGGATAGTTTCCTTTTCTCCCCGATGAGTCCATAGAAGTTGATGGCGCCATGATGGTCTGGTCTGGCCTGGGTCTGAACACATTGTCTTCAACTCTTTTTTCCTTTTCCTGGCGCTGTCTTAGTGACTGGGACAACCAGGAAGCACGCCCCTGCCTAGCAAACCAAGGCAAGGTCCGCCATCAAGAGACAGAGGACGCATCTGTGCGATGAGGATGGACGGGAATGTCGGTGTAGCGCGTGGCGTTGCAGCGATCGGGCCTCCTGGCAGAGAAACTCGCCATGGTGACGTTGGGAAACATGTGGCCGAGAACCGATACAGCCCTTGGCGCATCTCGGGTGCTTGAAGAGGACCGAATTGTGCCACGTTGGCGTCGCAACTTGTCCTCTCAAACATGAAGGATGGATCGTGGTATGGGAAAGTTGATTGTGAAGGAGGGGGATAAAGGGGATACTGGAATGCGTCTTGGCCGGCAGAGCTACGGGGCTTGCTGGAGATTAATTAAGGTCGCCCAGGAGGGTCTATTGGCATTCAAGGGAGAGTTAGACCTCGATCATGAGACGAAAGTGGAAGGGAATCACGCAAGGCATATCGCAATCAGGGACACGATTCTTCTTATACTCTTTGTACAAGTAAATAACATTGTGTTTCGAGACCAGCGTGGGAAGGGCAGAGCATTGAATATGATAGTGTATTGGCAAGTCCTCAATATTTCATTTCTTTTCTCCCCTTCCCTCCACGCCACTTTCCGAACTCACTATTTTTTTTTTAAAGAGGGCTACGATTCGACCGAAACCGAAGATCATACGTGCAATATCATCTTACTCTTACTTAGCTTGCCACTCTCCTGTAGTCCAGCCCCAACGCAAGTCAACGCCACATAGCAAAGTAGGGCCCTTTGTCCGAACCGCACCGTTTCGCAGGACTAGCAGAGTTCGCCACGAACAGCTCAGCGGTGCCTCGCGTGGCTCGAGAGGTAGGAAAAGACGTTTTCCTACCAAGAGCCGAAAAGCCCAGAAGTCCTAAAAGGACGGGCCTGGGACCAAACACGGCTAGAAGGAAACTTCTTACCCGCTCGACATTTGAAGTAGTTGAATATAGATATACCAGAACGTGGGCTGGTACTGGCGAGCAGTCCAATAGGTACATTACACATATGGTTGTCCCTTCAGTAAACAGAAGCAGCACTTACCGTCAACCAAGTGTTACATCTCTCGGCCTTTAGACAGACACATCAGCCTCGCCACCAAGAATATACTTCATGTTCACCAAGCGCTGCCGGCCACGCATCGGAGACCCAAAGTCATATACACACACACACAAAATACAAGATGAACGGCAACAGCACAGCAAGGCCGAGCCCGATGCTCGACTTTAAAGCCACACACCCGGACGTTTTCACACATGGCGCCCGCGGGTCGCCGTTGGCAGGAACAGAACACGAACTTCACAGGAGCATTGTGCGGGACATCATCAAGAAGCGACGGGACCAGAGACGCGCGCGGCTACAACAGCAGCAGCAACGGTGTCGGACGCACAGCAACGACACGACGCCGACGAAACCGACGCCGGCGAGCCGCAGCGTCACGCCTCTGAGGCGGCAGCCGAGCCAGAGCAGCAGCAAGCCTGACAGCCCGCGGTCGTGTACCTCGTCCGACTTCTCGTCCGAGTACTTGTCCGACTTTTCGCCCTGCGTCTCGCCGCTGATGGAGGACCTCATGCTGGAGATCAAGGATGCGATCCAGAGCAGCGGTACGCACCCCGAGCATGGCGCGTCACCTAAGCGGTCCACGTCGGCATTCGACATGGGCGACATATTCGAGCTGATCGAGGAGGCCCAGAGGGAATACGAGAGCCTGAGTGGTGAGTCACCTGCGGCGCAGCGGAGAAACGAACCGCCTCGACAGCCGCGGTGGAGCTGGGAGAGCCCGCTGGACCATTCAACAGCGGAAGAGAGCCACTTGGCTTTGACCAGGTGACACGTCGAAACGTCTGGAAATGACCTCAATCCTTGCTACGCAGCAAAAAGGAGTACGCAAGGAAGCCTGAAGTACGACTTGTACTCTGGCCTTTGAGAAAGGGGATTGGGAATCAGAAAGAGAGCGTCACCAAACCAACCGAATGTCTGAAGAATTGTGCGTTGTGTCAGCATGGAAGAAACTTCATCAATTTGGATTGTACATATTAAAGGGTCTGCACCTTTTTCCTGGTCACCCGACCTTCAACCTCATATAGCCTTTATTGTAATCGAACACCGGCCTGCCGCTTAGCCGATGATGAACTCATGTTTGCGTTTTCGCTCGTGTCAAAGCTGGGCTTGGCCTCGCGTCGCTTCTCCTCCTCAATCTTCTTCAGAAGCTTGTCGGTCTTACCCTTGCCGCTGCCCTTGCCGTGGAACTGGTGACTCATATGCTTGAAGGCCTCCTTTCGGTCGAGGGTCCGACCGTGGTCGTCCACATACTTGAGCTCCACGTTGGGCTTGTAATGCTTCTTAAAGAGCTCGTCGACGACGCGGGATTGCTGTAGTTCGCGGTGGGCGTTGGCCTGTCTGGCGCGCTCCTCCCTGTCCCTGGTAGACATGGCATCCAGTCGACCGCTGTTTCTGTCGCGCTCGCGCTGGGATCTGGCTCGCTCTTCTTGCTCCCGCTCAATGCGTCTCTTCTCTGCCAAGAACTCGGCCTTCTGGCGCTCGCTCATGTTCAGCTCGGCACCGTGAGCATCTTTGAGAATGCCACGTTCTCTCAATAACGCCAGTGTCGAGCCCATGCCTGTGCTGATGGTCTTCTCCTCGTCAACTCCTGTCGCCGCAATATCTGCGGAAGCTTCTCTGGCTCTGTCGTCTGAAGTTTCGTGGTTATCGTCACCCATGTGATGGTCTTCGTCGTCCGACTCGACATCCATAGTCGTGACGGGCTCTACTGACACGGACTTTGGCCTCTTCGGCTTGCGTTCCTCCTCTTCTGGTTTATTCAGATTAGACACAAATTCCGAGATCTCGTCGATTACGACGCCGCCCGTTTGAGCTTCGGTCGGCTCTTCGACTTGCTCTTTGAGTTGCCGGGCGATGTCTTCTGGGCGGGCCCTCTTCCTCTTCTTCAGAGCGTTTTTGCGCTGAATGGCCAAAGACGCTTGCAAGTCCTCGTCATCGACAAAAGTGTCATCCTCCACCTTACGCTTCTTGGCAACAGCTGCGCCATCGTCAAGGTCCATCATGTCGTCGCCGGCTGGCGTTATATCGAGAGGGAAGATGTCATCTTCATCAACAGGTTTCTGCCGGGTTGACTTGGACTTCTTCTTCTTGGGCTTCTTGACCTTGATCTCTGAAATATCAAGGTAATCCGAAGTAGGCGCATCCTCTGGCAAGAGAATTAGCAAAGTTCCCTCTTTGTCAGGTTTGGCTGGATAACACTTACGAATGACATCGAGGTCAATGTTCTGCAGCTTCTTCGACTTCTCGGGCGCGCCTAAGATGTCGCCCAACTCCGCAATCGCACCAGACCCATCAAGAGTGAACTTCTTGCCCTTCTTGCCGTAAATCTCATCGTCGTATTGAGCCAAGATGCCTTGCTCTGTCCCTCCGTCTGCCGCAGCGAATACATCGTATGCTGATTTCTTCTTCTTAATATCCATCCTTTCTTGCAGCTGCTCCTTGGCTTTGAGGTCCATGTTCTCAAGCTCGTCGCCCTCCTCTTCGTTTTGATCGATAGTGGCGTCCTTGAGGGTCAAGATCTGCTCGTCGCCGTCGAGAAAGTTGTCGAGTTCGTGGGCAACCTTCACACCTGCCAAGTCCTTTGACGTGTACTCAACCGCCGCCAGCGCAGCAGCTTCTGCGGCAGCCTGCTCCTCTTCCAGCTTTCTCGCCTTCTCGATGGCCTTTTGTCGCTTCTTCTGGGCCTTTAGCCACGCCTTCGCATCGCCGTCAGCATCCTCTGCCTCGCCCAGGCTCTTGCCCTCGAGGATTGCATGGCGCTGCGCAGCCTCTCTTTCCCTTTTCGCAGCCGCGGCTCGCTCCTCTCGTTTGCGCTTTGCGGCTTCCGCGTCGCGGACCTTTTTATAGTTGTCGTACGCTTGCGCCGAGCGGCTCTCCAGCGTACTCGGCGCATCCTCATCGTCTGAAGCAGAGTTGTCGCGTTGCGGAGCAGCTGGGGCGGCGCCAGGTACCGGCAACGGCTTCATGCCCAGAGAAACGCGAATGCGATTCGTCTCCTCGATGGTTGCGGCGTCCATCTTGGCGTTGTTTCGGGTTACCGGAAGGACTACTATTGGTATAGACGCGGGTTTAGTAGGGAGGCGTATCGATTTGATTTAGGGTTGAAGATGGCGATACGCAGGTTGGAGAGGCAAAAAGGCTGTTGTGCAAACAAGCTTGGAGTCGTCGGTGCAATGGGGATAGCATGCTTCATCATTTCGTGGCCAACCAGAAAAGTTATGCGGCTCATCAGCACTGTGCAAGGGTCGGTCTCCACTGACGGCCAAAGCTTAGCTAAGCGAGGGTGGGTCACCGAATTACTACATATCGCAGCCTTGCGAAAATTCTCTTTTTGGTTTTCTCTTCTTTCTTCAACAAACACGGGTCTGTGCCCAGCGATCCTCTGCTCCCACGGGAGTCAGAGTCGAACGCTGAGGCAGCTCGATCACTCAAGGAGCCATCAAATTTCATGATGTCAATCTTCCGATCGACAGATCCAAGAGAGACCGGTCTTTAGGAAGCCATGTTCGCTGTTGTAGGCTTGAGCGTGGTGGAATATCGTACTGGGGACGTCATATTCCGTACCCTTTTTCCGAGATCGTCGATCTATGAGGTTGGGGAAAACCATGACTTGCCCACATACTTTCGCGGAATCATTTCTCTTCTAGTTTTGGAAGGTTCTGTTGTGTTGAGCGCCCTGAGCAATTCGCAGCTTCCTTTCTGAGCCTCGCCGGCGCGAAGCTATCCGTTATAAATCCAACATTGCGAAGTGATTCCGGGTGAGGGCTGTGGATTCACACTCGCGCTTGCTACGTTTGGCAACCACATCGTGTTAAGATGCGTAGCTTGACGCGTATGATATGAAGTACACCCGTATATTTGCGCAAATAAGCTGGCTGTTCGTGATGCGGCAACAGAGTTATCACGATAAAAACTCATCTCAAGTGGGGAAGATGGGCCACGCATCCTTACGGTTTAACCTGACATGGCATGTGCAAAACCCTCGATAAACGTTTCCACGAGCCATGGAATCCTCCACGGTCTCTCTCTCGGCGCATCCCGTACCCGGCGCTGTCATCTTATGTCTGCCATCCCACGACGCATATTGCTCTTACATCATGGTGCCCACCACTTTCCTGGCTTCGCTTCCAAACAGCATCAAGGTTTGTCGGTTGCGGTGCAGAGCCCCTGTTTTAGGTATCCCCGCCGTTCTGTCAACGATGCCTAGGTACATGTGGGCAATACCTGGTGCGGGGTGCATCCGTGTGATCTGGGGTAGCTACCGGTATTGGAGTCGTCCGGGCCGATATCAACAGGAGACTCCGCCGTACCATCATCCATCACGCACCATACTCCTTGGATTGACGCTACTGCACGGGCGTAAATGAGCAACGACGCTCGGCTTGGACAACTGTGTATTCCGTTTCGTGATGCTGAGATGAAGACATCATATCATCGGCAAGTCCATGCTATTCGTCTACTTCCCGGTAAAATTGAAAGCTACTCAAACGGAATGACGGTGAACGGCAGGAGCCCTGATTCACCCAAAGCCTCCAAGCACTGCTCATGAACGATCACTACAATGCGACCCGTCCCTTGCCCCATATCCAAATTGTACTAGCGTAGGCCAGCTAGACAAACACTGTCCTGTTCTAGCCCGCGTTTAGTCTCCGGCCCTGTTGGACGTGTCTTGGTCATTTGATTAGCTTAAGCCGTAGGCTTGGGAGTGCGGGGAACGCAACAACAAGAAACCCCCAACCTTGAGACGCCCCTCAACACCACCAATAACACCTACAGTTCCTAGCGGATAGGACCGAACGACCAGGTAGTGTGATCTACTGTGCGGACGACATAACACAACCCCTGTCACTAGCCTTGGCCTCTGACGGAGCTGACTTGCCCAAAAGACGACTTGACTGAACCACGGCGGCCAGCACGGCACTGCTTGAGCCGGGGTCAACACCACCCCCTGTCTTCGCGGCATCGCTGATCCTCCCCTGAGCGGCAATCGCCGGCACTGGTGTCCAGCTATTACTGGAAGGAAGACCAATGGTGACGGAGGAGTTCCAACAGGGCAGGCAGAACGAACATCGCAACAGGACTGGAGAATTTGCGGAACCAGTTTGAGCGATTCGACAAGGGTTACACTACGGTTGAGCCGACATAGCCCCAGTTCCAGAGCGTGACGAGGGGCATCTCAGCTCGGTGATACTCTCGCATTCGGGCCTTCGAGGCAAATCATAACAAGTCATCTTGGATAGTCGCCCCATTCTTAGGCCTTTCACGGATATATAAGCCATCATGGTTTACCTTCAGCATTTTATTTACGGAGCACTGGCTTTCAACACCACCGAGCGTCTTACACAGCCCATCATGAAGCTGTTCACCTCCGCCCTTCTGCTCGGCTCGTTTGCCACCCAGACGATCTTGGGCTATCCGGGTGCTCAGATGGTCAAGAGAGATGTTGATTCCTTCATTGCCACTCAGACTCCTATCGCCCTTCAACAGTTGCTCTGCAATATCGGACCGAATGGTTGCCATGCACAGGGCGTGAGCTCCGGCATTGTTATTGCTTCTCCAGACAAGGCAGACCCTCCGTGTAAGTCAACCTTCTCTCTGTGTATCAGATCAACACCAAAAGTCCTGTTTGGGTGTTCATCAAAGGACGTTAGCATTTCAGATCGAAAATCGTTTGCTAACATGTAGCAGACTTTTACACCTGGACCAGAGGTATTTCCCAATAACAAGAAAGTTCTTCCGAGGTTTAGAACAGAAACTAAAGAGAATTAGACGCCGGTCTTGTTTTCAAGGCTGTTGTAGACACCTTCACAAATAGCTACGATTCGAACCTCCAGACCAACATTCAGAACTACATCGCCTCCCAGGCCCGTCTCCAGGGGGTTTCGAACCCTTCAGGAGGCCTTGGCGATGGTCAGGGTCTTGGCGAGCCCAAATTCGAGGTCGACTTGAGGCCGTACACCGGTGATTGGGGTAAGACAGACAGTTATTCTTGAATTCTAGTTTGTTCTGATAGCCTGTTCAGGACGACCTCAAAGAGACGGCCCGGCGTTGCGGGCGATCGCCATTATTGGTTACGCCAAATGGTTGGTGGCCAACGGCTACTCCTCCACGGCTTCATCTGTCTTATGGCCCGTAATCCGCAACGACTTGAACTACGTTGCCCAGTACTGGTAAGAAACTTGACGGATCATGTTGATATGAATCTCTAACAAGCTGCCAGGAACCAGACCGGCTTCGATCTCTGGGAAGAGGTCCGGGGAAGCTCGTTCTTCACTGTCGCTAGCCAGCACCGCGGTACGTACTTTTGAGGCCCGGTGACGCACAAGTCTAATCTTGTATTGTAGCACTTGTGGAGGGCAGTGCACTGGCTCGCTCGTTGGGCCAGTCTTGCAATGCTTGCGATGCTGTTGCACCCCAGGTTCTCTGCTTCTTGGGAAGATTTTGGGACCCTGCCGGTAACTTCATGATCGCCAATAGTGAGTGAACAATCTATATTATATCCCAAAAGAAGCTACGGACAATAACACTTCAACAAGTCAACGGAAACGGAAGATCTGGCCGTGATGCCAACGTCATTCTTGCCTCAATTCACAATTTCGATGCGGCCGCGGCTTGTGACACAGCAACCTTCCAGCCTTGCAGTGACAAGGCTCTAGCCAGCCATAAAGTCGTCGTGGACTCCTTCCGCACGATCTATGCCATCAATAATGGCATTGCGCAATCTGCGGCCATCGCGGTGGGAAGATATCCCGAGGACAGCTACTACGGTGGCAACCCTTGGTATCTGAATACCCTCGCCGCAGCCGAGCAACTCTACGACGCCCTCTATGTCTGGAAGCAACAAGGTTCCATCACCGTCACTCAGACATCCCTTGCTTTCTTCCGCGACCGCCTTGGCTCCGTCGCTCCTGGTACATACTCGTCCAGCTCGTCGACCTACACGTCTCTCATCAACGCTGTGAGCGCCTACGCCGACGGGTTCATGAACATCGTCGCGACTTATGCCCAGACAAACGGCTCGCTCGCGGAGCAGTTTTCGCGCAACAATGGCCAGCCGCTGTCGGCTGACGATCTGACTTGGTCCTACGCCGCGTTCCTTACCGCTGCTCAGCGCCGTGCCAACGTTATCCCGAAGGGCTGGGTGGGTTCGGCGACCTCTGTCCCGGGAACGTGCCAGGCTACCTCCATCGCCGGGTCCTACTCCAGCGCCACAGTGACTTCGTTTCCTGCCAACCAGACGCCCCAGACCGGCTTGCCTACTACTACGCGCGATACCGCGACCCCAACTGCAACTGGCTGCCCCATTGCGAGTTCTGTGCTCGTCACCTTCAATGCTCGCGTCATGACGCAATTCGGGCAGACTATCAAGATTGTTGGTAACATCCCTTCACTTGGGAATTGGAACCCAAGCAACGCTGTTACTTTGAGCGCTTCTGGATACACCTCTGAGAACCCAGTCTGGTCTGTCACCGTTGAGCTGCCGGCCGGCCAGGCCATCCAGTACAAGTATATCAACGTCGCCAGCAACGGTACACCTACTTGGGAGAACGACCCCAACCGTAGCTACACTGTTCCGTCATCTTGTGCCACCTCGGCTACCAGGTCTGATTCTTGGCAAGGCTAGATCTTTCAGAAGGTTCAAAAGGTTTCTAAGACCAATAATATTTACCTTGTTAAGCTTCATTTCGATGGCAGCTTCAGTGGAAATGGGTAAAGCACATATCACGTATTCCCTGCACATATATACTGCACTATTTAGTTGGTTTTATGAACGAATCCTCAAGGCTGCTCAGAAGCTCACTTCTCTAACTCCTTAATGATGGTGTCGACAGTCCATTCCAAAGTGGTCTCCATATCGATGTCGAGTCCCTTGCCGACCTGCGCCTTGATGTTCTTCTCCCTTAGGACTTCTTGGTTCAATTCGCCTTCCACGTTGCCATCCTTAAAGAGCCACGCATGGGATTCTACATAGTTGGGCCAGACAATTCTGTCCACATATCCGGGGGGGTCTTGCCAGAAGCCCTCAAGAGTGACATAACCGTCACGCGCTTCGCGACGTTGGGTCGCCTTGGCACGGCTCACCAGAAGAAACAGCTTGATATCGATAAGCCTCATTGTGGACTCCATCTCCTTGCAGTAGAGCAGGAACCCATCGAATAGACACACGCTGAGCTTGCCTTGGGTGAAGATGGCGTGCCCCGGGTTTCCAGGTTGGAGCCAGGCCTCGACCTTTGCCTTGACGGCCGAGATCTTGGCGTCAGAGACGGGGCATTTGCCGACGGAGTTTTGATCTTCTTTGGAGTCTACGAAGGGCTGGCAGGGCTTCATGTAAGTGGCGGGATGATAAAGAGCATAGATAGTGATGGCAGCGTACCGGGAAAGTTCCATTCTCACGGATGTGAGTGAGGGCTTTCTCCATGTCTGGGATGGAAATTGCTTCCGGGCAGTCCCAATCCACGAGGCCATTTTTCGTCGGCAGCCTGGGGAAGCGGTGAGTGACTATCGTGTATAATCGGATGAGTACACTCACTCAGACTCGGCCTTGTAGAAGTCGTCCTCATGCAATATGAAAGTGTTTGGAAAGATGTCTCTAAGCAGACGAGCCAGTGTAGTCTTTCCGCTGGAAGAGCAGCCGCTTAGCCCGACAACCACAGCGTTCTTATCCGCCATCTTGATAGGTCCCCGGGATGAATACCTAACAAGTGTTTTTGTGAGCGAAGAGGCTCTCCGTTGTTTGGTAACAGGAAGTAGTCCCCATGACACTGCGATGATACCTTTGATAATTACGTTACTTATCCCGTCCGAGGAACGTGCTTCTGGCCAAGACGTGGCAAACGGGAGATAGGCAGAGCCAAGTCCTCATCTGAGATTCTCATACGGTACTTGGCTCAGATCTCACCCAGGTTGATAGCGAACTCCCCCCACCACCTACCCCTCCCTGGTTCAGAGGTCAAATGGTGGAGACGAAGTCCACTAAAGGGACCCCCGGCAACAGCAGTCCAGGAAAGTTTCAGCCACATACACAAGGGTCAAGGCAGGCCAGGCAAGCCCCTAACGTGCGTCATTCGGCCAGGCACAGCGCGGTTCCACTCGCGAGCAAAGAGGCAAGCAAACCCGACATCTTCAAAATCCCACAAACAGGTTAGTTCACCCTAACTTGCCCGAGCTGTCGTATCTCAACGTGTCGCCGTTATACAGCCACCCTCGACTCTCCCTCTCTTATCCTGCCTAAAACCTCCCTAATACTTGAAGAGACACTGCCCGCAATGGCCTCCGAGGCAGTCGTCATTTCGACCTCCATTGTCGCCCTGATGACTGGCTTCATGCTCGGCGTATACTCGATCCGCGGCTACCTCATTTCCCCCGAGCTGCGCGCCGAGGCCCGCGCCAACACGGACGACCCCGTCGAGAGCGATGAGTCCGACATTGACGAGGACGATACCGTCCTTGACCACGCGCCGAATTGGGCCAATGGCGCGGCCGCTGACCGCCGTGACGGCCTGCGCCAGCGCAACACTGCATCATCTGAAAAGACCGCCTCCTCCAAGAAGCCCAACCCAAGTGCCGCGCCGCTCGTCGACTCCAACGAGGAATGCAAGCTTGTACTTGTTGTTCGGACGGATCTGGGCATGACTAAGGGTACATTTATTCTCCGCGCAACTTCCAATTCCCCAAGAAATACCTCTTAGCTAACACACTGTCACTATAGGCAAGATGGCAGCGCAAGCATCCCACGCGACCCTTGCATGCTACAAGTCTCTCTCGCGCGCTGCGGCCAAGGACCCCTCGTCCTCCGCGGCCAATATCCTCAAACGCTGGGAGCGCCTCGGCCAGGCCAAGATCGCGGTGCAGATCAAGGACCAGGACGAGATGCTCGAGCTCATGGGCAAGGCGCGAAGCCTGGGCGTCACCTCCGAGGTCATCGCCGACGCCGGTCGGACGCAGATCGAGGCCGGCAGCCTGACGGTGCTCGGCGTCGGCCCCGCCCCCCGGAGCCTCGTTGACCAGATTACGGGCCATCTGAAGCTGTTGTAGAGATGGAACGGGTGTGGCGTGTTTGCGGTCGGCGTGAGTGTGGATAAAGCATATTGAAACATAGAACTCTATTGGAACATACACGAAAAGGAGCGTAATGGCGTACGGTACATAAAAGTAGGCAATGGACTTGAGTCTGTATTTCTCTTTGCATATTGACATGGATTATGTCCTCAATGATGATAAAAGGACAACGCTGACAAAGTTCCTGGTCGATATTTGTTGGTATAAAACTGTGCTGCAAGCCCATTTGAAGAGAATGTTCAGAGATAAGCCATAACATCACAGGGAGGTAGCAAACAGCTCATAAGCCACCCTTTCCATGCTTTTGGGCCAAGTCCGGGAGTATCAGAAGGACCCTCAGCTTTGGGTATCCATGGTCACTAAGGGTGAAAATGCCTAAACGCCTCTTACATGCAACAAACTCCCCGGTCCACCTTTTAGTCAACTTTTACAGTATATGCCATGCCGCGAATTAGTCCTTGCGCGCGAATCTGGACAGCGCCGGGCCGAGGTCAGCCTCGACCTCCTGGTTCTTCATCTTCTTCTCCTTCTGCTGCTTTTCCCAGATCTCATCAACCTTCATTCTCTTCTCGTCAATGATGTTCTTCTTCCTCTGCTTGCGCAGGTACTTCTTGAGCGCGCCGTTCTTGCCCCTTGCGCGCTTCTTGATCTCTTCCTCGATCGAGAGCGGCTTCGCGTCGAGGTCCCTGTCGGCCTGACGCTGCTTCTCTGACCGCAGGTCGATGTTGCCGATGAAGTTGGGATCCAGGGCAATCATCTCGGGCTGCAGCTTGTTCAAAAGACCCTTGACCTCGGCCTCCTGTCTCTGCTTGGCCGACTCGAAGGGGTTGACCTCGAGAGCGTCGAAGTTGGCCTCTCCAGCGCCGGGGACGATGATGGACGAGAAACCTTCGTCGTGACCCATGCCAAGAACATCCTCAAAGGGACACCATCTCACCCGCTCGATGCGCTTGCCCTCACCACCCCATGCCATGTACGGGCTCTGCACCTTCTGCTGGACGGGCTCGTTCTTGTTAAAGAGGTCCTTCCAGACGCTCGTTTGCGTGCCCCATCCGACGGCCGTAAGACCCGAGTCGGAGATGGCTACCGAGGACGCGGGCTGCCTCGTGAAGTACTGGTTCACCTCCTTGAACATTCTTATGTCCCAGACAGCCATCTTGCAGTCCTGGCCTGTCGAAACCATGTACCGACCTTCCCTGTCAACAGCTAATGACCTCACAGGTCCTCTATGGGCCAGGAGCTTGACAAGGGGGTCAGTCTGGTTCGGTGACCATAGTGTTACTGTGCCGTTCTGGTGTCCGACATGGAAGACGGCGTTCCAGGGGTTCTGGGTCATGGCTGTCGGGGGACCAAGCTTGGTAGGGATCTCGGCGACGATGTTACCAGTCGAAACGTCCTGGTATTTGAGGAAACCAGTCGATGCCTGCGTTTGTTAGAATGACCCAAAATCATGTGCACTATCAGTACTCACCACCGTACCCAAGAGGAAGTGATAGGGGAGGAACTCCATATGCGTGACCTCCATGTGTTTCCTCAAGCAATGGATTTCCACACCGTTGTGATCGTAAATGTAGACATATTTCTTCTGCGCAACGGCGAAGAACTGGTTGTTGTGCAACCACCTCGCATCCCTGATCGTCTCGCCAAGCTGAATCTCACACCCTAGTTTGCCTTCCCTCCAGTCGAACGTCGCAAGATGACCTTTCCGTCCCGCCAGCAGCAATTCTCTGCCGTTGCGGGTGTACTCGCCAACGTATGGGCCTAGCTCCTCCAGCTTCAGCTCGAAGCGCTTTTGCGCCGTTGTGACAGCGACGCCCTCGACGATTTCATCTTGGCGGACCTTGTAGGTCCTCTCAAGTTCCGTTTCGGGTTCGAGGAAGCCGCCCGAGTTCTCGAGCAGGATCTCGGCATCTTTGGCCTTGATGGTCGCGTCGCGGTACTTGTTCTCGAGCCTCGAGAGGTTGGTGCGCAACTTCTTGTCCCGGATCGACTTGACGTTGATGCTCTTGCCACGGCCGTACGATTTGTTCGCCTCCTTTAGCCTCCGGATTTTTTCCCGCTCCTCGCGCGGGATGAGATCGGTGCGCCTCTTCACCTGAACGGCGCCATTGGAGTGTGTGTTTTTTCTGGATATCGTTTGCGTTTCGGGGGTATCAATCTCCATGGTGGGCGGCGCTGTCAGGTTGCTACCTGTCTGTCGTGACTACCGTCCCGAAATATCCTGGCGGAGCAAAAAAAAAGTTGACCGACCTACGAAATTTCACCCAGTTGTTATCGCCTAGAATGGACTGGTTATCGGTAACAGCCATACAATTGGCCACCATGATTTTCTGGTGGGCCCTGCGGGGGGTACGGTCTTAGCGATAAGAGATACGCAGTAGCCCACGCACGAAAAAAAGATTTTGATAGGCAGGACCCCACGATCGCAAAACCGCCGAGAAGAAAAATACAGGGCCAAATCGCGCCAAAGCTCGAGTTACCTCAACACCCCATCCTCGAATCCGACTAACAAGACCTTCGATCAACCTGGCTTCGTTACCATTTCGATTTAAGGCCGGAGGAGACGGGAAACCGCCCGCCGCGACCATGAGTCACTCTCACAGACCGACCACCAAGGTCACTCACAAGCCCTTCAAGTCCAAGCATGCGACCAAGGGTGCGCTGAGGGACGCTGCCAAAGGTTCGCCCCCCCAAAATTTTTACCGCCCATTCTTCAGACGAGTTGGTCAGTTACGGACACAGCATACTGATATCACACCCCTCAATAGGCAGACTTCCCGGCGACGAGCGCGGCCAGCGAAAGACGCCCCACCAGCAAGTCATGTCCAAGTTCGACAGACGAAACCAGGCCAAGCAGCGCCAGATTTCCAAGCGCAAGGAGAGATTGGAGGAGGTTTCGATATTTATTGGAAAGGATGGCGCCCCGCGAATTGTTGCCGTCGTGCCCTTGTGCCAAGATGGCGACGCCGCGGCCGCTGTCAAGCAGCTCAACGACAGCGTGGACATTGAGGCCGAGGTCGAGGAGGTACCATTCCGGGTCTCGGTTGACCGTTTCAAGCAGAAGGTCCAGTACATACCCCTGAAGCGGGATCTGAATGCCGTTCTGGACGCTACACGAGTTGCGGACTTTGTTATCGTCATGCTTTCGGCCGACGTCGAGGTCGACGAGTTGGGCGAGTTGATGCTGCGTGGTCTCGAGAGTCAGGGTTTGTCGACCCTGTTCACCGTCGTTTATGGCCTGGACAAGATCGAGCAGGCCAAACACAAGCAGTCAACACTTGGCTCCCTCAAGTCATACATCACCCACTTTCACCCTGAGCAGGAGAAGCTCTACCAACTGGAGAACAGGCAAGAGTGCGCGAACCTGATGCGTTCAATCTGCAACACGACGCCCAAGGGCGTTAGGTGGCGCGAGGACAGGAGTTGGCTCCTGGCCGAGGACATTAAGTTCCCTGATTCCGGGCTTGGGTCCACGGTCATTACTGGTGTTGTGAGAGGACGAGGCTTGAAGGCCAATCGTCTGATTCAATTGGGCGACTATGGAACGTACCAGGTTGAGAAGATCACAGCGGCCCCGTTGCCCAGGAAGCTGAAAAGGGGCGAGATGGCTGTTGAGGAGACCGAGACCGAGGAGATTCTTGATACCCCTGATGAGGACCAGGACGACCTGGCAGAGCTGGCGCCCGACGCCGCGATGGACGATGATGAAATGGAAGCCGATGGGCCGCCAGAGATCAAGAAGGGTGTGCTTCTCGATGACCACCACTACTTTGATGATAACTACTATGAGGCCGCGGAGGCCAAGACAAGAGTGCCCAAGGGAACCTCCAACTATCAAGCGGCATGGTACCTTGGCGACGACGTGTCAGACTCCGGCTCCGACATGGAGGACTACGAGATGCAGGAAAACTCTGAGGATGATGAAGTCCGTCCCGAAGACGGTATTGAGGGTCAAGCGCCAAAGGAGCCCACCGAGGCGGCGCCTTCAGAATACGCCAAGTCCGAGAAGTTTATCGAACCAGATGAGGAGGAAGATGCCGCCGGCCTGGCAGCCTACCGCGCCAGAAAGTCCGACGAGGTCCAAGACGACAAGGAGTACCCTGATGAGATTGAGCTGCACCCCGGTGTGCTCGCACGTGAGCGCCTGCAAAGATACAGAGGTCTAAAGAGCTTGAGGACGAGTGAGTGGCTCGAGAGCGAAGACCGGGCCTACGAGCCTGAGGAGTGGCGCAAGCTCCTACAGATCCCAGACTACCAGGCGTCCCGGTCCCGTGCCATGCGTGAAGCCCTCGTCGGTGGCGTTGCTCCCGGCACGAGAGTCCACGTCTACCTTAAGGGCGTCCCAGCGTCATTCGAGAAGTCGTACCAGCCCAGCAAGCCAGTCACTCTCTTTTCGCTGCTGCGCCACGAGCAGAAGAAGACGGCCATCAACTACCTCATCAACCTAAGCGCCGACTACCACCGGTCGATCAAGGCCAAGGAGGAGATCATCGTGCAGTGCGGCCCACGCCGCTTCACCATCAACCCCATTTTCTCCCAGTCGGGCAACACGCCCAACAACGTCCACAAGTTCTGCAGATATCTCCATCCCGGTCAATCTGCTGTGGCCACCTTCATGGGTCCTGTCACCTGGGGCGCCGTGCCGGTCCTTTTCTTTAAGCGCTCCACGCCTGTACCGGAAGGTTCCGGGGAGGCCGAGAAGGAGTCTACCCTTGGCCTAACGCTGGTCGGCACGGGCACGGCTCTGCCACCGTCAACCTCCCGCGTCATCGCTAAGCGAGTCGTCCTGACGGGTCACCCGTACCACATCCACAAGAAGATCGTCACCATCCGCTACATGTTCTTCAACCGAGAGGACGTCGAGTGGTTCAAGGCTTTGCCTCTGTGGACCAGGCGTGGCCGCAGCGGCTTCATCAAGGAGCCCCTCGGTACACACGGATACTTCAAAGCCACCTTTGACGCCCGCATCAACCCGCAGGACTCGGTTGGTGTCAGTCTCTACAAGCGCGTGTGGCCGCGCAACGCCATCCCCATTCAGGGGTCTCTTCTCGAGCCTAGTGTCGCTGGCCAGGCCGAGGAGGGTGATGTGATGATGGATTAAACGGATACCAAAAAGCATTGCAAACGATGAGATGGAAACGCCAAAAAAGGAGGAGTTCCGATAGAAGATGAGAGAAAGCACAGATATTAGCAGTAACGTCGGCTATAGATACAGGTCTGATGCCATCCTCCGGAGTTTTAAAAGGGATAAAAATGCCAACTTTTCTTCACTTTTTTTTCCCCTCTCTCTTTTACACGTTGCAGTCGTGACCACGGTCCCGTGGCCCCTCCCGCTCCCACTCCCACTCCGGCTTAAGCCTTGAGGCTGTCCAGGCCCTCCGTCGGCCGCGGGCCGCCTGCCGCCCTGCGGTTCTCCTCGGCGCCGCTCGACTTCCAGGCGCTCAGGATCAGGTTGACGATGTGGTCCACGGCGACGTTCTTCTTGACCTGGGCGAAGACGGTCGGCCCGCCCTCGCGCATCTTGCGGGCGTCCCTCTCCATGACGCCGAGGTCGGCGCCGACGATCTCGGCAAGGTCCGTCTTGTTGACGACCAGCAGGTCACTCTGCGTGATTCCGGGGCCACCCTTGCGCGGGATCTTGTCGCCGCCCGAGACGTCAATGACGTAGATGATGTAGTCGGCGAGCTCGCGCGAGTAGTTGGCGGCCAGGTTGTCGCCGCCGGACTCGATGAGGAGCAGGTCGGCGTCGAATTCGCGATGCAGGTCCTCGAGGGCGGCGAGGTTGGCCGAGATGTCCTCGCGGACGGCGGCGTGTGGGCAGCCGCCCGTCTCGATGGCGCGGATGCGCGGCGCCGGGAGTGCCTTGTGGCGCGTGAGGAACTCAGCGTCCTCGCGTGTGAAGATGTCGTTGGTCACGGCAGCGATGGAGTACTTCTCGCGCAGGGCGAGGCAGAGGGCGAGCATCAGCGCCGTCTTGCCGGAACCAACGGGGCTGATGGTGAGGAGCATGTCAGTCTGTGTTTTCTCTCTTTCTTTCCAACAAAGCCTTCGAGTCTTCGTCTTACAATCGAGATCAAGCAGTTGGACCGGGCCCTCATCCCAGTTGCGATGTGGTGGTGCCGAGACGGGAATATGAGCGGTTTTCAAACCACCCGAGGCAGCTAAAAGCAAGGAAACAACTCACCCCCCGATACCAATGGTAAAAGCGCGGTCACTCCAGTTCCTACCTTCGACAATGGGCATCTCTCGGCCGAGGTAGCTGCCGGGACCGTCGAGGATCTCATGAGAGTGACCGTGCTCCTGGGCGTTGAAGCCACCCTCGTGGGAGTGGGAGTGGCCGTGGGGCCCGTCGTGGGAGTGCTCGTGAGACATGTTGTGCGTGTGTGTAAACGGACCTTTGGCCGCACAGTAAACAGATGGGTCAATGAAGCTGTTTTCGAGTTGCTTCTAGACACTCAGATGTTATAGTTTTAGGTTGCAGCGAAGTGAGCTTGTTAAAACATGGAGGGGTTGCGTCAGAGAGCAGCCCATGGGATCGCGGGGGTTTGATAGCTTATCGACGACGCGATAAGAGGTGGGACGCAGGTCCCCTCCCCCCACGGCCGCCGCCGGCGCACGAGGGATGCCAACCCTCCCACGGGTTTGATCACCACGAGTGATTACCAAATTCCACCATGACAGTGCACGATGCTTGGAGGCTCTAGAATTGCATCTTCCGGATGCCTAATCGCACCTATGAGTCTGCAGTGTCATACGAAAAGTAATGTTGCCCGGACAGAATAAACCACCTCTACCTCTATGCCTCTGGCATTCATCCCAGTTTCCCGCTACGCCCATGCCAAGGGCTGTAAGTCCGTATCGATAAACATAACCAAAATAAGTTCCCTTTCAACGCCAACGAATGCAGAGACAACCTTCCCATTCAAGCCTCAGCCCCAGAACCTTTACTCTCCTCACTTGCCCCGTCCTTGGGCTTGGGCGGCTTCGGCACTCTCTCGTATGCATTCGGGCTAGGCCTCCTTGTCTTCTTGTCCTTATTACTTCGACCGCCCTGCCTGCCGTGCCTATGGTTGTCGTGACCATGGTCCCCGCAGTCGTGGTCATGGTCCCGCTTGGTACCTTTCCCCTTGCCCTTGTGGTCGCCCGAGGGTATCCTCCGTCTGCCACCGTCGTCTGTTTCCGAGTCGGACGAGTCGGACGATGAATCTGACGAGGACTCATCGCTGGATTCGTCGACGGCCTTTGGGCGGTGGTAGATGCAGCAGACTATGGGGCCGACCAATCAGTTCAAGAAAAGGAAAAGGACTTATAAAAACAAGCGCAATTACGGCATACCTTTTGAGCTCTTGCGGCCCAGGCCCTCGTTATCCACCACGTCCTCAGCCCAGCGCACCGATTGCCGTGACGGAGCATGCGCGCCCCTCAGTCGGAGGATCGCTTGCGTGCCCGTCCTGCTCTGCGTCTCCGTCTGTGTCTGGGAAAGGCCAGGCGCTAGGCGCTGTTGGGATCGTTCGTGTACGGCCGCCATCGCGATGGTTTCTTGTATGCGATATGCAATCTTTTACGCAGAGATGGTTTGTTGGTGGGCTGTCGAGTGCAGAGCGCCCCTCATAAAAAGCGGAGGCGAATTGTAACGCTGGTGAATTCTCAAATCACAGCGGTTTGCCGAAAATTCTCGAACAGTTAGTCGTATGCGAGGAATCAGACAAGCTGATATTGTCCCCCCCCTGTCAACCCGAGAGTACCGTGCACACTGGTCTATGCAGAGTCCAGCAGACAGTGGATTCAGGTGATAACACAACTATCTTAGAGGCAAAAGGGATGGTCTTGGCCCATCCCGACCCGGAGCGCAGCGTAGGAAGTAGGGTGGGTTAGACCATTCCAACCCTCCCCGGCGGAGCCGTTTTGGAATTAAAAAAATCTAAGAAAACTGGACTTGAACTGGATTTGAACCTACAGCCTTTAGGATATAAGGTTTATTGCTGTTATCGCTGGTATCGTGCACGGTACTCTCGGGTTGACAGGGGGGGGACACTATCAGCTTGTCTGTAGACTCGTCGTATGCAGCCGCCGGGGTACGTAGTGTACAGGTAATCGGCGTTAGCTAAGGCTGGAGTAATCAGACAAGCTGATATTGTCCCCCCCCTGTTAACCCGAGAGTACCGTGCACAATAACAGCAATAAAGCTCAGCAGACAGTGGATTTAGTGATAACACAACTATCTCTGGAGGCAAAAGGGATGGTCTTGGCCCATCCCGACCCGGAGCGCAGCGTAGGAAGCAGGGTGGGTTAGTACCATTCCAACCCTCCCCGGCGGAGCCGTTTTAGAATTAAAAAAAATCTAAGAAAGCTGGATTTGAACTGGATTTGAACCTGCAGCCTTTAGCATATAACTGTAGCCTTTAGGATATGAGGTTTATCGCTGTTATCGTGCACGGTACTCTCGGGTTGACAGGGGGGGGACAATATCAGCTTGTCTGTAGACTCCTAAGGCTGCTTCAAGTCCTCGGGATCTGTCAGACGGCAGGCAGATCGAATATCTTCAGGGGTCGACTGGGGGGTTGCTGATTTCTGAGTTGTAGCGGGAAGGAAAGGGTGGCATGCTTTTGTTGTTTTTTTTGGAGGGGCGGGTTCTAGGCCGATAGTCACAGAACTAGGTACATTCCTTGTTACCCCACGTCATTCTCTGGAACCCACAGGCGTGACTGGACGGCCAGTCCAGCGACAGGAAAGAGCCAGCCATCTCAAAGAACGCTGGTGCTATGACAGGTTCCGGGTTCGGCTTATTCCTCTTACTTGCAACGGTCCGGGCCGGTCTAGCAACGGCCAAAACTCCTTTAGAGATCGGTTTGCATGCAGGGCTAGTGACGCGCCGCTCATTTCACGTGTAAAGTGGCTTATACAAAAAGTTGATTTCATGGCTCTCTTTCCTTCCATTCGAGGCCGGATTGGCGTCGATGACGTCCCTGGTTCATATTTCATATACTAATATATTGACACAGAGCGTTTACATGATGGTCATGGTTTTACATGGGGTTTGACTTGTATACAGAGTGTGGAGTTTGGTACAGACAGTTACGCGGCGGCCTCGGCGGCCTTCTTGGTGCCTCTGGCAGCCTTCTTCGCCCCCTTCATGCTCTTACGAGGACGGCTCTTGATTTCCTTCTTCATCGGCTTGTTGATCAACCATGCGTTCATCGGCAGGCGGGAGCCGACAAACCTCCCCTCGGGAGACCAGACCTCGACGACGGGCCAGTGCGGCTCGTCAGGCTTTGGTACGGACTTCTTCTTCTCAACCTTGGGAAGAGACTGACTCTCCGCTGCCTTCTCCATCTTGGCAAAGGGATCAGCCGGCTCGGCCTCGGCCTCGGTCTCAGCTGTGGGTTGCTCCGGAATGAACGGCGCACAGCCTGCGAAGAGGTTCTTGGTTCGCACCTGCGCCACGATCTCGACCCAACCGCAGCCCTCGATGAGAATGTCGATCGCCAGGACGCGCCAGGGCAGGTTCTCGACCTTCATGCCGCCGACCTCCTTGCGTGTGAGCGGACCGGCACGCTCCTTTGTCACGTCGTAGCGCAACTGGAACTTCCCGGCGAGCTTGATCTTGTCGGCGATACCAGGCATAGCGATGTTCAACACGCGGGGCGATTCCCTCCTCTGCTCCTGGAACTCGATAGCCTTCTCAGTGGCCGTTACATGTTCGGCAATGGGCGTGAAGTTGTAGGCGAGGAAGACCAGATCTGGGGTGCTGGGGGTGATGCGGATCAGGCTGCCCAGGAGGAGGGACTGGCCAGGCTTGAGAGTGTGCTGCTCGGGCTTGATTCGGTGGTGCATAATGACATCTTCTCGGTGCTCCGGCTTGACGTATTTTTCGAGATCCGATCGAGCGATTCCTGGGAGGTCAATGAGCTCTCCCTTACCGTTGCCGAACGGAATCCGAATAGGGGAGGCCGTGGTGCCTGGGAGGGAAGACACCGTGGGCATCTCTGGAAAGTTGGTTTCGTTCCGGGCGGGCGGCAGCAGCGCGTCCACGTCTAGGCGATCCGCCTCGTTCTCGAGCACGTTCCCTGTCAAGTACATCGTGCCATCGCCGTCTTCCTCCTTTGCAAACATGGAGACCTCGACGTTGTGCTTAGAAGGGAGGCTGGCCGTCGTGCCCTTGGGGAACACAGCCTCGAACAGCTGACTCTTGCCAACGTTGACCTTCCCAACCATCCAGCCGGCGCCTCCACGATCGTAAATCTCTTGCTTGAGAGGCTTGGTCCACCAACCCCTCTGCGCGCTGACGCACTTGACATTGCCTAGTCTGATGAGCTGGCCGAACTTTCCCAGCGACCGGCGCAGCACTTCTCTCAGGTACGGCATAAGGGCGTCAACCTGCTCCTTCTTCGGAGCCAGCAGGTCTGACCGGGTGATGATAAAGCTCATGTCGAACTTGCGGTCCTTGAAATAACGGCCGGCTCTGTTCCTGCGGTTGCGGTGCTTCAGGTTGGCGTCGAGGACCTGGTGCAATTTCGGCATGAAAGACATGGGGAAGTCGGCGGCGTCGATGACATGGTAAATTTGGTTGTTTTTGAAAGGTGACTCCTCGATCGTCTCGCGTAATGAGTCGACGGTGGGATGGTAGATCGGCTTTCCCGAGTGGTGATGAACCAGTTTATGGCATCGGTCGCAGAGCGGTGCTCTTTTAGTCGGAGGGCGGGAAGCTATCTGTAAGTCAGCAACTACAACTCCTACTTCTAGTTATCGAGACATACCGAATCGGTCCGTGTCTAGCTCCTCGCCGTAGCGCAGCTTCTTTGGGTCCAAGCCTAGTTGCGCAAGCTGCTCCTCGCCCAGGTTCTTGAGAACCTCGTCGATGACCTTATCCTCTTCGCGAAGCTCCTTCCCAGCATCCTTTTCGCTTGCGGGCGTAAGGAACTCCTTTACGGATTTCCTGCCCAGGTCGTAGTAACCAGCTTGCCCGGCGTGCGTTGTTTGGGTCAGCGCGCCGCAGCCGCTGCACTGCAACGGGAGCTTCTTTGTCGGGAGCTTTTGCGTCGTTTCGGTCGTGGGAAGTAACGGCGGTGCCTCAGTCGTTGCGTTAGCCTCGACGTGTACGCACCGTCGTTGTCTATAGGGGAGTTTCCGATGCGCCTTGGCCGGCGTAAACGAGTGTCGCGCGGACGTGGCGCCGAGAGAGGGACACAGGTAGACCGGCACCTCGCCCAGCGCGGCTAGGTCGCCAATGCTCAGGGCGCTCCTAAGCCATCTTGACGATAGTGCGCGGTGCATCTTTGCAGAGGGGGGGGATGAATAGAAAAAGACCCGAGAGAAGTAGGGCAGGAATCCGAAATTCTTGCGACTTTTTCTCTCCTTTGCCTGGGGAGCTTTCCAAAATTTCAGATCTGCGGCGTTCAAAGCTTCCGTGGAGAGATAAGATAAGCGCTCCCCCCTGAACTCAACTGAACTCGAGCTTGTCCGAGCCTATTAAACGGCGGACAAACCAACCCCCGACCCCCGAAAAAGCAAGGGTCGCGGGCAATTTTCAGAACCTGAACCACGCGATATACTGGCGGCATTCAGAGGTGGACTTTGAAGGTTTGGCAGTGATACCCTCCAGATTGTGATATATCTGGACCTTTTCGACAAGATGGTTCGCGTAGGCCAGAGATGGCATGCTCTAAGAGCTGTAAGTTGTTCTACAAACGTTACCCTTCGTCTCGGTATCAGCCCGGATGCAGCTAACACTTGCCATTAGAAGGTACATAGCACTGCTCGAGAACAAATCCGGACGTAGCTCCTGGGACAACTTCGATTGACACAAGAGAAACCCACCAGATTCTAAAGATACGCTTCGGCCCCGGCGCCGCAACACTCCCTCCCAATGTCACGAGGATACACATGGAATTCGCCAAGCGCGCAGAAAACGGTCACGTTGGCCCCAAGTCCGTCCACCCTTCCCCCCTTACCCAACCTGTTACCCTCTCAAACGCAACATACAGGAATATACAGACGACTGACCCGTTCTGAACCTACAGAAAGTTCTGGCGTGAAATGCTTCCCCGTCTCAAGTACTATAATCCTGCCGTCCCCATGATCGTCAACCGCAAAGCCAACACCGAAGGCGCCGCCATCATGTCCGTCTACTTCTCCGCCACCGACGCGCCCGTCGACCCGTCGACCCTCCCGCAGCCCCCCTCTTCGGCCATCGACAACAGCAAAGCCCAGCCTCCTCTTGAGGGCGTCGAGCGCGTCGTCAAGATCGATATGAAGGGCAAGCACTCCCAGGAGATCCTTGACCGGTTCCTCGCCGAGACCAAGGCCGAAGCCATTCTGCCGGGGCCCGAGGACGAGAGCGAGATGAAGGCTGCCGAGGAGCTCAGGATCAAGGGTGAGAAGGACCGCCAGCGCAACCTCAAGATCCGTGAGGAGGAAAAGAAGGAGAAGGCTATGTTGGCCAGGGCGCGTGCTGAGGCTAGCTCGTAGTATGAGTGAGGGAAGACATGTACGAGGTGAGCGTGGGCGGAGATCTAAAAAAGTGTATGAATATCCTGTACAAACTGTACCAAAAAAGAATCTCTGCATGAACTGGTATATCACAGGGAAGCCGGCAGGCTTGGTTTGAAAGGTCTGGTGAAAGTGCGTAGCGCGGCCATAACAGCTATGCCAACAGAGCAGAACGTTGAAATTATGGGAGGCTTTGTAGCGAAAAATGAAGTATTGTTCATTATATATAGACTAGTTGAAGACTTGATGACCATGTGCATCCAAAAAAAAAAAAAACCTCATTCCCCGCCACCCGCTGCCCAACCAAAAACCAGACGCTCTGTGAGCCGGTATCAAGTTGACCGATCATCGTTGACGCATGCTGATACCCTTACCAGACCAGTGAGGCCGTTATCTTTATGTAAGTCCAATATTGATACTCTCCGACTTCATCGACACATGAAACGTTCATTTTAACCCAAAGCCTTCGCTTTCGTGTACTGCGGTCCACAACATGCGTTCCAGCCTCTCCCTCGTCTCATAACGCCGCAATGCAAGCATGTTGAAGCAAGTTCGGGCGATAGGGTATCTATCCTCGTCGTCGCCCAAGCAGGTGATTTTGATCGGGAGGAGAGCTGCGCCCATAGCTGGCACTCTATCAGTGCCAGTGATAAAGGAGAGCAGTTTTCTCTGTTTGTCTGGGGAAGCTTCCTTGAAGGTGTCCCAGAACCATCCCACAACGGGTTCCACGCCGTCGGGGTTTCTTGTCCCCCAATTGTCGTACTCGGCCACTCCCCTTAGGGCATCCACATCAAGCGCCGTATCAGACCCTCGAACAAGCAACTCAATCTCTTCAGGCCGGAATAACGACAGGGCGTTGCCACCACAAACTGTGTAGAAGCCGCGCTTGAAGGGCTCGAACTGTCGGGCGACTGCCGTTTCGAGGAGATATCTAACGTGCAGACTGACGTATTCTCCCCTGTTTGCGTTGGTGACTGGTTTTGTCTCGCCTCCCGGACAAAGTGGGACTTGCATCACGGTCCCGTACTTTTCAACATCAACGACGAAGTCGAGTTGGAAGGTCGTCTCGACATCGCCGTCATACTCCAGAAGCTGTTTGAGGCCAGCGGCCAGTCGCGGTCGGTATTCTGCGAGATCTTCCAGGGTATAGTTCATGGTTGGACGAGGGTGTGCAGATGACCCAGCCGATGCTGTAGGGGCCGATGCAAGCAGCTTTCGGAAGGCAAACGGGGGCAACGCCACATCCAAGATGGTGGAGTTGTAAATGGCCAAGCCAAGGACAACGCCGACAAGGAAGAACTGGTCGGATGTCTCAAAGGAGTTGGGATTAAAGTAGCAGAACTGGGAGTCTTCATCGTAGATAAACATGCCTGCTGCTCTGTCAGGAGGGGTATCAGGATCGACCGAGACAAATACGTACCATGCTCTGGATTGAAAACCTCACGGACGAGGAGAAGAAACCATTCCTTTTTGAGGCCTCCTGCATCAAGACCCTCCTCGCCCTTGAAAACAATGCGTAACCCCTTCTTGATATCTTCGCTCCCGCTTCCGATGACTTCACTGACAGCCTTCAGACTGTCGTCTACCAAACACTCTCGCCTAACGTCGAGTACCAGGAATTGGGTGATAGTCCTTCGCGTCATGATGCTGTCAAAGAAGGCGTCTCGCGCTTTGGTCATTTGTTGCCTACGTGCGTCGTGCTCCAATATCTGTGACTTGGCCCATATGCTCAGCAGGAACGGATACTGGCAGAATGAGAACCTGCCCCGTTTCGACTCCCAAGCTTCAAACTCAGCCACCAGGTCTGTATAGTCGATCATAGTGTTGTAGAAATCACTGGTCGGGATGATCTGCCCATGTGCTTGGATGCCACCTCTGTGGGTGCTGCTGCTCATGTTCCTCGACGTCTGATCCGGCCGTCGAATGTGCGTCATGTTGTTTGCCGCGAACACTAGAGATAGGACTCGCGCAGCCGCCCGTATCTGCCAGTCATCATTGTACACCATCTTCTTCGGTTGCTCCCGTTGCTTTTTTGAGGGGCCACGCTGTGTACCTAGCGCAGCATGCAGCGAAGCTGTCGAGTGCCCAGCACTCATACTTGGAATCAGCCCAGCTGTGATGTCCACTTTGACCTCGTGCTTCTTTTCGTTTTGACGAATAAGTCTATACGTCAAGAATCCTGCTGCGAGGTCCTTCATCTTGATGAACCTTTCTTCCGAAAACCGAGCGAACCATGTGGTCAAATAGTTCTGACACGAACTAGACGAGTTGGAGATCAGGCCTAGAATTCGCTTGATGACGACAGAGTGCTGTCCAGACACAGGGCCTGTTTTCAAGGTCGGTCTATCCGCTCTCAATGCCTCATCGCTTGCCTGCGACGGACGTCTGTCGGCGTTCCGCCTCCCCTGGAAAGTATTTGATTCGCCGTGAAGCAAGGGGTTGTCCAAAATGATGAGGAGATACCTCAGGTCTTCCGGGTCGGTCATAGGACGGCCAGGTCGCTTGAGTAGTGTCTCAGTAGCCTTAAGCAAGGTCCTATGGGCGTGGTCCTGACCGAACAATAGCTGTGATTCCAAGGATCGAAGTTCTGTGGCCGAAAGGGGCTCGGCCCCCGATTCTCGAGTCAACTCTTCATAGATAGACATCCAAGATTCAGCCGCGTTGATCACGGATCTGTACCACTCTACAACATCACTCCATTCGACCTGAGGTGAGCGCGGCGTGATGAACGAAGGCACCTCATCGGTCCGTTGTGATGCCGACCGCTTATGACGTGCCCTATCCGGTCCTTGATTGCCGGCCCACCACGTGCCATTCTCAGCGAAATCGCCGAGCAGCAAAAGCTTTGGATCGAGGTCACAGATGGTGGATTCGATGTAGTGCTCTGCATGCTTCGCCTCAGGTTTAGCAACGACGGGCCGTCGGGAAGTAGACTCGCTGCCTGATCGAACAGGCATGGCAGGTCGCCGAGACAAGAATGACGAGTTCACACAATGAAATGAGCTGAAGCAGGTCGTGATATAGTCTTCTAGCGGTTTAAAGATCCTCTTCGGGTCGTCAACATTCCAGTATGCAGAGTCCGTCGGCTGGGGCACACTGCCTTCTGCCGTAAGCTGCCGCATAGAGGGTCTTTCGGGATATGAAGATGAAAAGGATCTTGTCGTTGGGGGTACGCGAAGGGTCCCGGGGCGAAGCGTTGGCTGCTCGGGAAAGACGTATGTCGACCCGTTGCCCTGACTTTTCTCTCGCTTGTGTTGCGGCACACCCGTAGTCCTCACGGCGCATGGTCGACCATTTTGTTCTCTCAAAAGGCTGGAAGACACATGCCTATCGACATTTTCGCGGTTTTCATCTTCGGAGCTCGAAGACCTCCTAAGCGCCTTCAAAAGATGTGCGTGGATACATTGTCGGATCAACCTTTTAGTCTGCTCGAGGGAGATGGGCCTGGCGTCGTATCGTTCGGCTGGGGGAGTAGGTTGTTTCTGAGGTGATGGTGACTCTTGGGAGGGGCGCTGAAGCCACTTCGGGCCGCTGTTGGCTCTTGTGCCTTGCGGATCCGGATGGATATCGTTGATGGTTACACAAACGGTGCATTTGAAGACCTTTAGCTCTCGCGGCCAACGCACGAGTGACCCGCAAGTCATGCAATTGCCTGTGGCAAAGTCCCTGCTGCCACCATTGGTACCTCCTCTTTTGTGTGTAGTATTCCCCGGCGACTTTGTCATAACTGGCGCATCGTCCTCTGAGTCGGTGTCAGGGGCAGCGCCGGTGCGCTTCTTCTTACTTGAGAACAGCGAGGGAAACGGGTGGCTCATGGAGCGCGAATGGGTCGGTCGGCGCGGGCGTCTTGGGTGGAAATCGGATTCGGAAGAGCTCGAGTCGGCTTGGAGGTGCGGACTATCCAAAATCGCATAGTCGGGCAGTCTTCCCAGTTGGCCAGGCGGTGCAGTGAGCGACGGGGTGTGTACTCGGGAGATCAGGTCGGCAGATGTTTGACGGAGAGCAGGAGGGCGATGAGGTGGAGCATGACGTTGCGACCATGGGGCCATCTTTGCGAGCGACGTCGTCTGATGTCTGCGACAACGGTAGTAGCAGGGGCATGGAAGCAGCTTCCTCAGCAAGCAGCAAATCGGCGTGGAGAATGAAAGATATGATGCAGGAAAGGCGAGATTAAGCTTTCTCAGAAGCGTACTGCTGTGGCCGAGGAAGGCGGTTTGAAGCACAAAGGTGGTAATTATGATGGAAACGAGGGGGGAAGGAGCAGGTGAGAAGCGAAGGGAGACCTGGACTCTGGTGTATGCGTATGTGCCTGTGCCTGTGCCTGTGCCTGTGCCTGTGTCTTTGTCTCTCTTCCAACCCGCGTGCGAATGCAGGATGCATCTAAGTCAAGGACAAGAGAGACAAGACAGCGCTGCAGGGAACAGGCTCACGATACACGACGATGCGGGTGTCGATGCACAAGGAGGACACTCGAGATGTGGCGTTTGCAGGAATAAGCAGCAGCAGTGGTCGGGTCTCGCTGCGAGGCCAGGGAACTACCTAATAATTAAGTGCTAAGCAGCCGAGAGTCGATTGAGGCGTGGACAATGAAGCGCAACGTCGTCGTTGTTTTTGTTATGGCCCCGTGGGTTAGGCCGAGTCGAGGTAGGGAATTGACCACCTCTAGTGCCCAAGCCAACAATTTGCGCCGTGCGCGCGATGACATTAGACGTTGCGACGGAAATCCCAAGTACTATTCGGATGTCACGTCTTGGACCTGAGCGCGGCGTGCCGGGCCTCCAGACCATCCATCCCTCAGGTCCGTTCCTTGACTTGAGATGGGGACGGGATTGGAAGCACGAAGACGACGACGAAAGGCGAGTCGGCCTCGGCCGAGGGGCCTGAACAGTGGAACGGCAACAGTCGCCCGACCCAGAAAACAATCCCCTCGGGCCATGTTCTCTCATCAGACTCGCCTCGTATTCGTCGCCGGGCACGCGGCGGGCTCTTTTGGGGTATAAACAGGCCCGACATACCTATTACCACGTCGAAGAGTCGATTGATCCCCCCGACGCACCGTGGCTGGCTGGCTGGCTGGCCGGCGCCATCCATCCCTCGTTTCAAAGAAAGTCTGTCTTGTCTCCCTGGCGTGATTATATGCAGTCCCAAATTGACTCTTAAAACCAGCCATCTCTGTGAAGACGCTCCAGACCCATTGCTGATTCCAGCGCGGATAGCTTGTATCTTGTCGCATGAACTGCTAAAGAACTTGCTGGCTGTAATAATAAAAGTCCGGA